ATTAGCCGGGCAAGTATCCTCCAACTAGACAGAGGATGAGACTGGCTTTTAAATCATCATAAATTTGCTTGCTAATAAATAATTGAGAGACTGGGATCGAGAGACTAGGATCGAGAGACTGTGATATCGAGAGACTGGGATATCGAGAGACTGGGATCGAGACAAGAGACTGGGATCAAGAGACTAGGATCGAGAGACTCGAGAGACTGGGATAAACCAAAACTAGTTAATTGAAGAAAGCCTAACAAAATCCTCAAACTATCCAATTTCTGAAGAGAAATGGATGGTACCCTATAAAAAGTGCCAAGGTGGAATTGAGGGACAAGGGTCATTCAAATAGACAGACGCTGAGACTGGTTTTCAACTCATCATAAATTTGCTTGCTAATAAAGAGTAACAGAGAACATTTTTATTTTTCAAAAAAAATTTAACAAAACAATTCACAACCAACAAAAATAACCCCTACAAAAATCACAATTACAATTTACACATTTAAAAATCTCTCTTTTATATTATCCCCTCTCCCTCATTTTCCTTTAAACGAAACATGTTCAAAATGATCTTCGCTAACTTTCTTGCTCAATAACAGACTGTCAGAGGTCGGAGTTGATGATCTCAAAGTTCTTGCCGTCTCCACAGGCTTTTGTTGTTGTTGTTGGTTATTCTTGACTTTCTTCTTCTTTTGTTTGTTTTTTCTTTTGTCTATAGGCTTCTTTTGTTGTTGCTCTTTCTTTTGTTGTTTTGGAGGGGGTGGGGGAGACAAACTTCTTTTTATTATTCTAGCAGGCGTTGTTGAAGGCGATCTCTTCTTTTTGTCGTCCGGCACGCTTTTTGGAGAATGTGGAGATTTAACTCTTTCTTTTGTTGGACAAGTCTCAGCTTTCTTTGCTTTACGGCGACAAAAGCACATGATTAACAGACAGACAACCTTTAAAATGAAAAATGATTGGGGAGTGATAAAATGATAAATAAACTTACAAAATAAAGTCAGCAAGAGACGAGTTTGCATTTTTGGGAGGGTTAATAGAGGGCTTTTATAGGGGGTGAAAGTTGTGTGGTGTAGTGGATAACATCCCCGATTTGCACTTAAAAGGGACTAGGGTTCGATGCCTGTTGGTAGTTGGTGAAGTTTGCTGGTATTTGGTGAAGTCTGCTTCCTAATATAATACTTCAACATGCTCCGAGGAGGCTACTAAATTTTTTATTTTGTTTAATCCCATGCTTTGACCAGGCCACCCTTGTATTTTGGCCTCGTACTGAGTATAAGCTCAGTTTTTGCCTGTACTGCCTCGTTCCAATGAAGCATGTCGTATGATTTACAAAGCAGGAGACAGTAAAATCTAGCTTCTACAGAACTATCCCGAAGCACAAGATTCGAGCACAACAACCAACAAATCCATAGTAAAGTAGCTGGGCTATGGCTATTTCTCTCCTTCAGCTAGTGCAAAAGGTTAATCGGCGGCCGGGAGCGAACCAGCATCTTCAGTAGAATACTGCACAGCCTTAGGGATTAAATATCTATTTGCTTTACACCATCTAGCTCCTTAATTTCCAAATTTAAGTCCCTAAAATCCTGTGGAGTTGATCTAATAACACCAAAAAATACTCCGAAAGCTGCGGAATCCACCCGATATTAAGTCCTACAAATCGTTTTTTCCTTTTTAAACATTAAAAATAAATTTTTTTAGTCTTGTACAAATTTTAATATAAATATATATTTTTCCTTTTTTACATGCAATTTTAAAAGCACTCCTGACATTTTTGACGAATCCAACAAACAAAGAAAAAAATAAAGAATGGAAAAGAGAGAGAATTGTGTTATTATTAAAACTTATTTTTAAGGTAAATAAATGTTGGAAAAAAATTTTTATGACGAAAAAAAAATTGAGAGCTGTCTGGAAAATGTGTGTTGTGGAAAAGAGATTATTTTTTAGAAAAAATTAAATAAAATTTGTAATTATTTTTAAAAATTTTTTAGTACATACAGTCAGATCTCGGGTGGGGGAAAAACAGAGGTGGGTGAAAAGATCAGAGGTGTCGCAAATCGGAACTGGCTCAAAAGTCGGAACTCGGAAATCAAACATTTTTTCGGAAATCGGAAGGAACAAACGTCGGAAATCGGAATTCTGTCCCACCTCTGGTATGTAACCCTCGAGGATGAAAAATGTGTATGTAAGAACTGAAGGTATAGCCTAGGAACCCCCACCCAGTAGCAATCAGTTCAAAAACGCAAGCAAAGGATTTGATGGAACTTGAACCTAAGAGCTCTACGAGGGAAGGGTTTTAACCGATTTGATCATCCCACCCTTCTATGACATCCTAAGACGGTTAGGCTGGGAGGAAACTTTGAAGACGTACTATAAGGTGCAACCGAGGTTTGACTGTTACTAGACAATTACTAGGAGATTTTTCTCTGAAAGAGGTAGGAGAGTCCCTCTGACATACATAAGTCCGGAGTCTTCCGACAAACAGTCCTAAACCTCTCAATAATTTTCCATTTACAGTATCATTCACGTTCAAAATTCAAAAACCTTTTGATCTTACCTTTCTTTTGATCTTACCTTTCTTTAAAGCAAATTTCCCAGTCAAACAACGTAAAGGGTAGAAAAATAATCCAAAATTGAGGAGGGAATTCCAAGGAATATAAATAGGGAAAAAATAAAAAATATTTTCATTTATTTTCCAAAATTTCCCCCATTCTGCGTAGGAAGAAGTCGCGACTTTTTAATGAAAGGTTAATGAGGTCGCTGACAAGATGCCTACGCAAAATGGATAAAAAATAATTTTTTTTTCTAAATTTAATTTTAATTTTAAAGGATGAGGACATTTTAATATTTTTAATATTTTAAAAATGAAAAGACTAAAAAATCTTTTTTCTTGCGCGAGGTCATTCCCTCAAATATTAGGTGGATATAACCGACACAAGTCGGTAGACAATCCTATTCATGTTTTATTTAAGAAAATATTGAGAGGGGAGGGGAAAGAAATTATTTTTAAGAATTTGATTTACTAGTCTTCTCGAAGAGATACTTTAAGTCTACCCTTTCTAAAGACTCCAACTTTTTGTGAAGAGTAACCGAACCATAACCCTCCCATATCCGTCCCTTTAGTCTCGGTCGAGGCCCGGTCGAAGAGCTTCAGGGGGGATATCCTTCCCATACGCGTTTTCTATTTTATCTCCAGAGGGAGAACTCCTCGACCGGGCCAACTATCAATAAAATTACGCTTCAGTCCCAGTTGTAATTGATTTGTATTTACAATGCTTTATTTATTTGAGTTGGTAATCACAGGCAAACTTCTATCGTGGCAGTCAAAAAAATATTTTTAGTCTGACTGATTTTGTAAGATCTAAACTGCTTATTGGCACATTCTCATAAGCAAAATCCATTAATATTTTCTGTATAGTCCATGTGTCCAAATGTCTATTAGTCCAATTGTCATTAGACAAATTGTCCAAAGTCAAATTGTCTTACAGGCCAAATGTCTTTTAGACCAATTGCCTTTTGTCTAAATGTCGCTTAAAATTTAATCGTTATTGGCATAATGTTTTTCGCAATATTTAATGGCGCTCCGACTCGGGCACAGTGATCCATTTGCACAGTAAGACTTTTGCACAGAGGGCATCTGCACAGTAGACACTTGCACAGTAATTTGTGGTTAAGTGGATTTGTGTTAGGTTTTACTTTTTGTTATAAGGGAATAAATGTTACTAATTATTAATACCTTTACTAAAAAAATCTTAAATTGTATTAGAATTCATAATTCTTCTTAAATTTTTTATCTATCTACTATCTAAATTTAAATACAGCCAATAAAGCTAATTACCCCCCCCCCCCCGTTTGCCATTAAAATAATGCTGCTTCACACCGCTCATTTTTGACGGCCTGTTATGTCAAAAATAGATTTTGTTGGAAAGGCTAACATACCACCTTGTAGTCCTGAGTCTGCTATATTAGATAAACACCCTTCCACTTTTTTAAAATTTCTTGCGGGACACGCACTTGACTGAACACGCCTAGGTCGAACTGCGTTGGGGCAGTACAGTGCATCAGAAATCAGATTTTTTAAAAGAAATCAGATTTTATTTTTTAAACATATCCAAAAACTTCTTTCTTTTTTAAAAAAATGTTGTTAAGACACGGTGCAATTATCATGTTCAGTTAGATTTTTTATTCATTTGATTCTTTAATGATTTAAAGATTTTTCTTATGAATTCTAATACAATTTAAGATTTTTTTAGTAAAGGTATTAATAATTAGTAACATTTATTCCCTTATAACAAAAAGTAAAACCTAACACAAATCCACTTAACCACAAATTACTGTGCAAGTGTCTACTGTGCAGATGCCCTCTGTGCAAAAGTCTTACTGTGCAAATGGATCACTGTGCCCGAGTCGTGTCACCTATTTAATCTTTGATCATTTAAGAATTACGCGTTTTCTATTTTTATTTTTCTCTTTCTTTCCAACATTAAAAGAGAATTTAATTTCAAAATAGAATTTACGGGTAGGGGATCATTGAGTCCCGCCGGTTGAGTCCCTGAGCCATATTTTGGGCCATAACTTTTTAAGTTTTCAATGAATTAGAATAAACTTTTATCATTCGAAAGCCCTGGATGTGAGGATTATTTTTGCCAACTACATTGATTTGATCAGATTATCCTACTAAAAGTTACATCCAGTTAAGTGCGCGTAATCGTGATTTTTAACCTTTATTAGGATGTAACTTTTTGTATGTTGATCTGATCAGATCAATCCTAATAGATAAAATAATCCTTACATCAAGAGCTTTCGATTAAAATATACTAACTAAATCGATTAAGAATTGGAAAAGTTATGGTCCAAAATGTGGCTCCGGGACTCAACCGGCGGGACTCAATGATCCTGTTCCGGAATTTACACATCTTTTTGCTTAAATATTTGTCGTGTTTGTTGTCTTTTTATCAACTAATTTTTAAAAGAATTTTAGAGAGCTTCTTTTTTTCGCTTGAAAATTTTAATAAAAATGAATAATAAAAATCAAAATTTGATGGATATTTTGAAGGCTAATGATTATGATTTGGCCGAGGATGAAACGGCTTTTAGTCCTCATTTGTCGGAGGTTTTTTTTGAAGTTTTAGAGCCTTAAAGTAATTTATTTTTTATAAAAAAAGTTGTCGCGACCAGTCATTAAACGTGTACGTGCTTTGAAAAAACTTCAATTGGAATCGTTGCAAGTTGAAACTCAATTCTATCAGAAGGTTTATGAGCTTGAAAAGGTTTGGAGTTTTACTCGGGTTTTCAGCTAGTAGTTTGGCGAATCGGGATATTGAGTTCTTCCTATGTTTTCCGTTCTGATATCGAATTCAGGGGGTGATGGGCGGAGGGTTATGCAGGTTCCGGTCTATCAGGAGGGTTCTTAGTTTATTGGAGGGAGTATATGTTGTTTATTGCCAACCGAATGAGCTCCTCTACCTGGTCAACTATTACTAAAGTTATACAGTTCCAATAGTAATCCGATAGTGAGTTGTGGTCTCATAATGGTCAAAAATATATAGGGGGCTAAGTCGATTTTTGTGATGAGAAGAACAAGCTCACAAAATTTATTTTTTCAAATTTTAAGCAATTCCAACCGCTGTTCGATGCTGTCAACGCAAAGAGACGTGCTATTGTTGCTGGAGAACATGAACCTACTGATGAAGAAGCCGATACTCCGCTATTGCATGGAGTTACTCAGGAGACTTTGGAGGTTGTTTTAATCAGCAATTGGTTAAATAAAGTTTTCTCAATTTAAGAAAATTGAACAAGATGCGCCTGTTGAAGGAGGCGAGCCTTCTAAGGGAGTTCCTTCTTTTTGGTATAATGTTTTGAATAGTGTTACTCATACGGCTGATATGATTAAGGTTTGGAATATTTTTGGGGAATTTATAGGAAATAACGGGCTCCCTTTTATTTGCTCCTCGGCTTTACTGTTTTTGGGTGTAGTTGTTCAACTAGATTCGGTTAACCCAACCTATGATGAGTCGGGTTAACCTAAACAATAATTTCTTTCGTAGCTAGCTTGGCCCGACTTTCTTGCCTATTCAAAGAGGGGTCCTGTATAAAACAAGGGATAGATTGGAGCCCACTCACATAGATTGGAGCCCCAAAACTTCAAAAAGTCTCAACTATTTCGCTCAAATTTTAGGAATGTGATCAACCAATACTTCAATATTTGATTGATATAACGAGCGAATCGCATGAGAATACTCCGGTTTATTCTTAAAGAAATTTTCTGAATTTATTATTTTATTTTTAAGGGATTTACTCTTTCATTCCATTTCGCCAAGAATCCGTACTTTACCGATTCTGTTTTGCAGAAGCATTACCAATTGCAAATTGGATTGAGTGAGGATGATCCGTTAGTTTTTTTTTTAATTTTTAAATTAAACTTTTGGGTGTTTTGAAGCGAGTGAGAATTTTAGACCAACAACCGAATATACAAAATATGGGTTTTTACGAGCAGTACGAAAAATGGTTATTTGATTTTTTCGTTCCAAGGAAATAGAGTGAAGTTTCGGAACTAAAAATCCTCGGTTTGTTGTACGATTAACCAAAACCAATTCTGTTTTTATAAGGGACTTCAAAAATTCCTTTGCTTTATTAATCCAAAAATTAATTTTAATCCATTTTAAAGGTTTGATTATGATGGACCAACAGTTGTTAAAAGCAAAGGTTGCGAAATTAATTGGAATGCTGGTAAAGATGTGACTACAAAAATTATCAAAACCAAAAAGAAGAAAGGACCTAGTGCCGGAAAATTTGTCACGAAAACGGTTAAAAATGAAAGTTTTTTCAACTTCTTTGAAAATGTTGAGCAAGCTTTGGATGATGATTTGGAGGTTTTTTTAAATATAAAAATCGAAAAAGAATTAATTTTTAGAAGGAGGACGAGGAGAAGATCCGTGATGATTTTGAGACTGGACAAATTATTCGGGATCAGGTATTGGGGTTTTTAAATTAATATGCATCCCGAACTCACTATAGGATACTCCATAGACGCTTATAATACTAGCATCCCATTTTTAAAATACGCTGATAATAGTTTGGTTACCCCTTGATGAGGATAACTGGTTAACGATTGGACCCCAAGTACACTTGATAACTTTTCGGGCCATATCTGAATAAGAGGGCGGTTTGATTTTTTTCCCATCATTTTTTTCCTACCTTAATATATAAATAATGGTCAGTCTTTTCTTCCTCGTTCGATTCCACTCGTTTTACCTGTGGCATATTCAAACACCCCTTTTTAGATTGTCCATTGGACGGGGCAAACTGACTAGGCAACTCCCACATTTAAGATCCTCTTCATACTATTTTTCTAACTCAAAATTCTTTTTTTCCTCTTCTAGGTTGTTTCGCGTGCGGTCTTGTTCTTCACTGGCGAAGCTACGGATGATATGGATGACTTTGATGATGAGGAAGACGACGAGGATGATGAAGATGGGGAGGACGATAATGATGGTATTCATGACGACTCGGATTTGTCTGATGGTGGTGGTCACGAAACTGTTCGTCTTGGCGGAGCTGGTGGTGAAACTATTCGTGTTTTTAAGCGTTGAGTTGGAAAGAAAATTGTTTGGAATTAAAATGGAAAGGATATATTCTGATTTAATTTTATCGTTTTTTTTTTTGATCACTTGTTATTTTAAAAGAAAAAAAATTTTTAGTTATTTGTTTATGGTATTTTTAGATTTAAAATATATTGTCGCTTATAGCACAAAAATATTTGATGATAAATTCTGAAAGTTCTGAAATTTGGTAAAATTTATAAGATTTAATTTAGATAAAATTCCTCTTTTGCATGGAGAAAATTAAGCAAGATGCGTCCGTTGAAGGAGGTGAACCTAAAGGAATTCCTTGGTTTTGGTATACAATTTTGAAAAATGTTACTCATACGGCTGATATGATTAAGGTTTGGAATATTTTTAGGGAATTTATAAGAAAAAGTCACTCAAGATTCTTGATGTTTTTTGAAAGCGGGCTCCATTTTCATTTGCAATCTTTACATTTGCCCCTCGTCTTCTAACGTTGGCAATTAAATCACTCAAAAGGATTGTTTTTGGTTGTAGTTGTTCAACGACAATAAATATCCAGTTTTCTCCATAAAGTACCACTTATGGGCCGGGTTAACCGAATCCATGACTTCTTTCACAGCAATTCGGCCCCGACTTTTCTCAATTTCACCCGTCCTTTCTACGCAAAGAGGTCCCATAATTAATTTCTTTTAATGGTCAAAGGTAGAACAAGGAACATAATAGATTGGAAAAACTTCAAAAATTCTCAACTTGTTAAATTTTAGGAATGTGATCAACCAATACTTCAATATTTGATTGATATAACGAGCGAATTGCATGATGTGAAAACTCCGGTTTATTCTTAAAGAAATTTTAAAAAAATATTTTATTATAAAGGGATTTACTCTTTCATTCCATTTTGCCAAGAATCCGTACTTTACCGATTCTGTTTTGCAGAAGCATTACCATTTGCAAATTGGATTGAGTGATAAGAACCCGTTAGTTTTTTTTAAATTTTTAAATTAACCTTTGGGTATTCTGAATTGAGTAAAGAATTATCACAGCTACCGAATTTTTGATTCCAAGGTATAAAAGGAATCGTTTGATGCCTTAATTTCAAACTATGGGTTTATACAACGCGTTACGAATACGTCTGGTTTTTGGAATTTTTGGTTCTAAGGAAATGGGAGAAAATTTGTTAATTTTTTCCGTATCATTTAATGTGGAGATCGAAAAATAATTTTTATCCATTTTAAAAAAAGGTTTGGACCAACTGTTGTTAAAAGCAAAGGTTGTGAAATTAATTGGAATGCTGGTAAAGATGTGACTACAAAAACGGTTAAGAACGAGAGTTTTTTCAACTTTTTTGAAAATGTTGAGCAAGCTTTGGATGATGATTTGGAGGTTTTTTTAGATATAAAAATCGAAAAAAAAAATAATTTTAGAAGGAAGAAGAGGAGAAGATTCGTGATGATTTTAAGACGGGACAAATTATTCGGGATCAGGTTTAGTTTGATTTTTTATGACCCTATTTCTAAGAACCCGTACTATACTATAAGAAGTAGAAAGTCATCTTAAGGCGTTTTCAAAGGCCATTTAAGGGGAACAAATTTGGTGGGCCTACTAAGCGCCCCAGGTTTTTCGTTGAAAATGTTGAGCATACTCTGGGCGATTATGATTTGGAGGTTTTTTAAGGGTGGCCATTGGACGAGGGAAAATTTTAAACCACCATATTAGGATCGTCTCTTTATAATGTATTTTCCGCACAAAATCATTTTATTGTCTAGGTTGTTCCGCGTGCGGTCTTGTTCTTCACTGGTGAAGCTACGGATGATATGGATGACTATGATGAGGAAGACGACGAGGATGATGACGATGGTGAAGAGGATAATGACGACTCAGATTTGTCGGATGGTAGTGGTCACGAAACTGTTCGTCTTGGCGGAGCTGCTGGCTAGACTTCGTGTTTTTCAGCGTTGAGAGAAAAATTGTTTGAAAATAGAATGGAAAGGATATATTATAATTTAATTTTATTGTTTATTTTTTGATCTCTTGTTAAGTTATTTGTTTATTGTATTTTTGAGATATAAATTATAAATTTATTTTTAATCTAGAATATATAACAAATAAATCAACAATAACAAAAGACCCTTAAAAAATTAAACTTCCTCACTTCTTATCCTTTGCAAAGCTTCCTCTCTTCTCCTCCTCTTGAAGGCTCTATAAGGCTTAATTTCATCCATTTTTCTCATTTTTGTTGTTCTTTTACGTAAATGCCTTTTTTGTTTAATTGTAATTGCTGTTGATGGATTTAAAATTAACATTGCCTAAATTGAAAAAATTAAAAGTAATTCTCCTTTTCAAGTCTCGGTTGGGCGCGAGGATGTTTGAGCTTATCGACTAGAACTCCAGAAATGTCCGATGAAAAATTCTGAAATTTCTAGAGAAGTCAGCCATAGACGTTAATAAAATTTGCGAAAATTTTTAATAATTTAGATCCAGTCAAAGTGCCATTTTTGAATCGCGCCCAAACGTCAAGGCGCCAAAATGAAACAAAACAAAAACCTTTGCTTGTTCTCTTCTCTTCTGCTTTCGTTCATCTTTTTCTCGTTGACATTTGGCAAGTTGTGTTGAATATTCTCTATCACCCAACTGTTTTCTAAAAAAATTTCCAACTTCAGATGCCAACATTTGCAAGTCTTCATTTTTATTTTTTTCTTCTGATATTCTTAAAGAGTCACTCATTTCACGGTATAACAGAGGCAAGAAATTGTTAACAAGATGTCCAAAACGTTCGGAATTTGAATCACATTTTAATACTAATACTCCCATCATTTTGAAGATACAAAGGCGCTAAAGGATTAGAATTTAGTAGGAACTCATTATAAAAGATACACCCAATATTAACCCCATGTGAAGGGAACCTAGTAAGTAGTCTGAAAGGAACATGGGTAGTCTGAAAGGAACATGGGAAGTAGTCTGAAGGGAACATAATAAGTAGTCTGAAGAGAACATAGGAAATAGTCTGAAAGGAACATGGGAAGTAGTCTGAAGGGAACATAGTAAGTAGTCCGAAGGGAACATAGTAAACTGAAGGGAACACAGGAAGTAGTCTGGGCCCGTAGAATAAATTCAGGGTAACATAACCGGTTGAATAACCGGGTAAAATAACCCTGGGTTAAATAACCCTGAGTTCCGAGTAAAATTGGTAGAATAAATTCCGTAGAATAAATTCGCATTTTTACTCCAAACTAGAGGTTACTGTAACTCGCGAGTAACTCTTTAATTTTATTTCTGTATTGAACTTCCATTAAACAGCTTTAACTTTAAGTAAAATCATTAGAGTTTGAAAATGTCGGATCCGGTTTCAGGATTTTAATTTCTTTTCATCCGGACTAAAATCCGAATTTTTAGACCCGGATCCAAACCTGGATTTTCAAAAAAAATTTTCATAAATATTTTTTCATTTTTTGAATATAAAATTTTTTTCAAAATTTTGAAAACTTAATATATTTTGGAAAAGAGCAATCGAGACGCTTTTACCCCCTGTTACACTGCCCCCGACCAGTGTAGCAATTTTACCCTTAGCTGAGGGTTATTTGACCCGAGTAATTAATTTATTCTACCAATGTGAAAAGCTACTCGGGGTTTTGGGTTAAACTACCGGGTTGTTTAACCCTGAACTCAGAGTAGGAATTTATGCTGCGGGTTGCGAGTTATTTGACCCTCGGGTAGGGGTTAAATAACCCTTACCCCGAATTTATTCTACGGGCCCTGAAGGATGGAGGAACTTCTTATGTGATATACACCTATTTAATATACACCTCATTATAAGAGACAATTTTTAAGAACCCTAAACAGTGAGTATCTTAAAGTGAGACGGACCTACTATTTAAAAAATTATTTCACAAACCTTTTTCGTTTTCCCCGTCTCCTTAATAGCTTCAATCCAACAAATCCTAGACAATCGTCTGCATAAAATTTCAAATTGTTTGGAAATATCCAAAGCCAGCATAAAATGGGTTAGTAAGCGTATTGCCTATAAAAATTAGTTTAAAAATAATTTAAAAAAATTAAAAACCAAATCAGCCAAAGTATCATTCCAAAATTCTCTTCTTTCTTCCTTTGTATTTTCCCGATTTAATTGAATTTTGTTCTCTTCGCAAGTTTCTTCTACCAAATTTTCTTCTTCAAAATTTTCCTCTTCATTTTTTATTAATTTTTCTTCATCTTCTTCGCCCTCTTCCTCTTGTAATTTCTCTTCTTCATCTTCATTTCTCAATTCTTCATCTTTTCTTCCTCTTCTCCTCCCATTCTCCAGCAATAAAACAAGGCAAATACAAAAAGAATAAAGCTTACTGCCATCTTTGTTGTTTTCGTCTGTATTTGTTCTTCAAAAAATAAAATTTTTTCCTTAAAAATAACAAAAAAGACAACCTTTTATTTAATAAATTAATCAATTTTTCTCGAATATTTAAATGTCCAATCCATGTATTTAAAAATGTAGCTGCACAAATTGAAAGTTTTAAGCTTTCATATGTTTGTTGTTGTTCATTTCGTTGTTTAACAGATAAAAGACAAAACTCCAAATTTTCTGGAAAAAAATATTCTTTAAGTAGTCTGACCTCATTCTAAGATATACTCCGAGGGGTTTGAAAAGTCGTCCTTATTATGATGTATAACTTAAAAAAGGTTATCGCTTATTGTTAGACATCTCCCTATCCAGTGGCCTTTTGAAGAGCGTATTTTAAATTGAGTTTATATTGTATTGAGGGTATCTTATAATGAGGTGTACCTTATAGTGAAGTTTAGCTCTTAATGAGGTGTTTATTAAATAGAGGGTATTACTCGGAAAGCTCTAAATTTTAAAAATCGTCTGTTAAATAGAGGTGTATCTAATTTTAAGGTATCTTATAAGGAGGTTCGACAATATCTTAATTATTTACCAATAAAATTCCCAAAGTTGTGCTGAGGAATGTTCGAATTTTCACTTTCTTCACCCTTTTCTATTCGCTTCAATTTTCTCTTTCTCAATGTTTTTTTAAATTTTTTTGTTTCATCAAGTTGATCATCAAATTCAAAAATTCCATTAAAAAGTTCTTCGGGATTATTCTCAGCAACGGCATTAAGGAACTCGCATAAAGATAATTTACAATCAAGTGACACCTTTGAAAAATATAAAAAAATTACAAAATTTTTAAAAAATTTCTTACATCTGGAGACGAGAATTTGTTTGGTTCAATACAAAACTCTTCAAAAGTTTTTCGAACAATTTTCAATAATAAATGTTTAGTAAAATGAGACGAATTAGACAGAACAAATTGAGTAAATAAACGCCAAGCAAGAACACGAATTGATGGCTGGAAAAAATTTTTAAAAAAATTAAAAAGGTTTCAGGATCCTTCTCCAATCATCCACAACACTATCAATCGCGGGACCTATTCCTAGAAGGATAAAAGTTCAATCAAACTAATTTTAGTATGCTTTTACATTTATCATCGAGCTCACCCGGATGGTGCCAAAATTGACTTGCTATTACATTTTTACGTTTAAATATGAGAATCTGAGAGTAAACTGAGCTTAATGTAGACCAAGCGGATGAGTATAGTTATTGGGTAAGGGCTTTTCTCAACCCAAACTCGATCCACATTTTTCTCAATACGACCTATCCCTAATATAAACTGGCTTACTCCTCCAATTTTTTATATTAAATTAAATTCATAAAAAAACCTTTCGTGCTGACAGCCAATCTGTTGCTGCTGAATGCAAATCAATAAATAAACTTTCAGTAATTGAAGTAAAAAGTTTACGCAAACAAATAACAATAAATTGAAGACATTGCTCATTATCTTCATTTTGTAAACGAGCAGCCAATTTTAAGAAAACTAACATTGCATAACGATCATTTGCTTCCTAGGATATTTTTGAAAAAATGTACAGGCGAACCTCATTATAAGATACACCCTTGAAGATGAGTAAAAGTCTATTATAGTGAGGTGTTTATCAAATATAAGTTATCGCCTAGGCAGCTCCCCCAACCCATTCGCCAACAAAACTTTAAAAAACGTCTCTTAAATAGAGGTTTATCTAGGGTATCTTATATTGAAGTTATCTTATAATGGGATCTCTCATAATTGGGTATATCTTAAATAAATGGCATTGCATAGGCAGCCTCGCCCCTCTAGTAGCCCAGCCAAATTTACAAAAACGTCTCCTATATAGGAATGCATCTAATATCGAGGGTATATCTTCAATGAGGTTCGACTAGTAAAAAAATTTAAAAAATAAAAAAAAACAAACTTCCGTAAATTCACTCAAAATAGATAACTACTTCTAATGCAGATAAACGTCCATCAACAATTTCATATTCAGTCTGATTAAGAAAAAATTCCATCCAATACTCGTAATTACGCATTCCTTGAGGATGATTTATTAGGTAAAGAAGAATTGTCTGGAAAAAATTAACTAAAAATACTTTTTTTGCAAAATAAACCTGTCTGCATTGGCTTCGAATATTTGTAGAAAGTGAAGTTATTGCCTTTTCTGATAAATATTCAATAATATTTGTTATCTAAAAAATAAATGAAAATTTAATTTAAATTGCTAAGGTTGTCGGTTCGGAGCTGAAGGAAAGAGACTCGAGAAGATCATTTATAGTTCTTATTAGAGTTAGAACTTTTCAAGGCGCAAGGCCTAAAATTCGGGGGCCTTCTTAAAACCTGGGCCGGGATTTTCCTGGCTAAACCCGAAAACCCAGATTCTAACGAAATACCTTGCTTCTGGGCTACCGAGCTCGGAAACTCCTGGACCCGAGTTCGACTTCTATTTCTTATGTAAAGTTTGGATACACAAAAGAAGTTCCTAAATAAAACCAACAACGCCTAAATAAGCATTTATTCCCAAATTCATCCCTAAATTAATTAAAAAACCTTTTCATCATCAATTTTCATATTAATTATAGCTTTAATTAAATTGAAAGCAGTTGTTTGTTTTTGTTGATCAAGAATATCAGTTTCCACATAATTTAATAAAAGTTGTAATCTATCAGTATTTAATGAAGAAATAATTGGTGAAGAACGTAAAAGATGTGTGAAACATTTGAAGAGATTTAAATGTAATTCTATAATTGTTGGACGATTGCCAGATTGTCCAAGTGATGCATAATCATTAAGAACAACAAAAAGTAGATCAAAAAGCTCTGAGAGACGTGAATTTAAAGATTCCAAAGGCCATTTAAATAAATAAAATATTAAACGAAGGGAAAGCGCAGTGATCTTTATTAGAAGAAAAAAATAAAAATCTTGTTATAAGACAACATATTGAAATTGAAAAAATCGTAGCCTTTTTTTCTGGATGTTTATTATATAGTGAGTTTGGAGGTCTGAAAAGCCCTACATTTTTTTAAAAAATCTGACCTATTTTACAAGCTTCAGGTTCGACTCGCGTTGGTCCAAGGAAGAATAAAACCAATAAAATCAGACCCAAAAATATTGAAAGGTCGAAAAAGAATAATTTGACTTCATTATGCGAGGGGACTGGAATGAGGTCTGAAGGTATCCTATAGTGAGGTACATAAATGAGTGTATAACGTAAGCATTACCTTGTCATATTTCTTTTTGAGAGCTTCCAAAAGAATCGGGACAAACTGTTCCAATAATGGAATGAATTCTTTAGCCTGAGTTGGGTTATCATTTAAAACTGGAGAATTTTCTTCTTCAATCACTATAAGAAAAAATAAATCTAAAATTAATTTAAAATAAAAAAACAAACAATTTTCATTTTCTGTTTCAACATTTACTGAACGTCCTTTTAATTGATCAACCAAAATTTGAAAAGCAAATTCAACAAAAATGTGCATTTTGCTTTTAATTGCAATACGATGGATAACTCCAAGCCTGTTAAAATTAATTTTGTAAAAATTAAAACTTCAAAATTTTTAAATTAAAAATTATATCTACTACTCTTCAAATATGAGTGATTAAAAGTTGGGTTTTTGGTGAGCGGTTAAAGTTTCCGTGTGGTGACTCAAATAGAGAATAGTAGGTATGAGCAATTGAGACGCTATAGGGATAAATTAACCGGCCGCCAACAACTCTAATATCTGATCAGTCCCGAAAAAAGGAAAACCTCCAATATTTTTCAAGAAAATCTGGTATATCTCACAAGTTCCAAGCCCGCCTTTGCTCCAAGTGAATATAAAAACCCTGAATTGGGCCGATAATTTCGAAAGGTTGAATTTTACCTTTTTGGTTCTGTTGGTAATAATAAACAATTTGGAGGCCTCAATGAACTTTTATCTGTTGCCAAATGTTGTGAGCTATTCAGCCTTTGCTAAAATAAAAAAAAGAAAGTTTCTAGAGTAAGAATAGTAAATCTCTAACCTTGTCTTCTTCCATGTGTCGCATGCTTTTACGAGCCAAGTTCAACGAGAAATTAAGTTGTTGGAGAGGAGGAATACCACCAGCATTAATTCGTAAACCGGCACTTAAAGCTCTAAGCCACTCTGAAAGCTTTCTTATTGTTTCAGCTTTTGGACTGGCTTCAACTATCTTTAAAAAAAATAAAAATTTCTCTATATAGAATCAGATCTCATTATAAGAAACACTCACTATAACACACACACACACCTCTATTTAAGCAAGTGAGTGGGGAAACTGCCTATCTAACAATATGTGAAATAAGCAATCTTTGAATAATCGTCCCTCTATTTAAAATAGAATACATCCATAAAAGCTACAATTTTTTAGCCCTAACATAAGAGGTATCTTATATAGTAGTGAGTTTCGACTGTACAAAAAATTATATACTTCACGAATATGTTCCAAAACAATTTCATTCAATGCCTTTTCACTACCAATAAATCGTCCAATCTGTGTGAGCGTTTCAGATGTTTTATTGTTGCTAGTTTTTGCTTCAGGAACACCATGAGATTCGGAGCGAAGTTGTTGTGTTTGTCCATCTTTATTAAACGATTCCTCGAATTGGTCATTGCCAAAAGCTTCCCATTTGCATATCTTTTAAAAAGAGAAAATTGATTTTAAAGTCTTTTTCCTCAAGAAATTTAAAAAAATTTCTCAAAAAATTTTATTGAATCTTTTATTGATTTTTATAAAAATTTTATTGAATTTTATAAAAATTAAAAAGAAACCTCCAGTAATTCACGCAAACAGGAATCCAAGTCGCCTGGTTTTAAATCTTCGGCTATCGCGCTGATTAATGCATGAACCGTAAATATCATAACATGAATCTACAAATAAAAAAAAATTATTAAAGAATTAAAAGAAATATTAAAAACCTGATATCCTTTGTTCATAGTTTGTTTAAGTTCACGAATTATATGAGGAAATTGTAAAGGACCAACAATTTTAACAAGATTTATCAACAACTTTCGAGCACCTTGCCTAACACTAATTGAACGACTCATCAACAAATGATTAAGAGTAAGAAGACAACTAGAATATTAAAAAAGTTTAATGAAAAGAGGATTAATTCATGGTCTCTTCGTTCCCGAGAGGATTCGTAGGTGGTTCCAGGAACCGTGGAACGGATAAGATTATGGAACCAATTTGAAATAATTCCCAAAACCTTCCAAAACCGCTAGATTTTCTGGAAACAAAAAAGTTTCACTGTCCTGTTGATTCCGGGTGACAACTCCAGGGACTGCAGAATCATCAAATTCATAATAATATTAAACTAACCCATTCATATTTTGATCCACAACACGTTGAGGAAGCCATTTAAAAAGCCTAGCTGTCGCTAAAACCAACGGCGCTCGAAGTAACTTTTCATCTTCATATTGAAAAATATTTGAAGTAAAATTCTGAGCTCGTTTATGACTATTGAATTGGGTCTGAAAAATAGCGTCTAACTTATTTATAAAAAAGCTGCAACCTTTGGTCGAAGCAATTCTCTAAGTTTTGGGAGTATTTTTCCATTTACAAATGCAAAAATTTGTTGTTTTGAATTTTTAGATTTCTTTTGATCAAGCATCTCTTCAGTAACTGTAATAGTAGAAGTTGATTCTAAATTTTGTTTTAAATCACGCAAATCAAAATGAAACGCATCAAGTGTTGCAATCACCAAACTAAAATAAGGATAAAACGAAACAAAAGTATATTTCAGGGATGTAAAGAGTTACCCTAAACCCGGACTTTTTTCCGTTCCGGACTTCTATCCGACCCGAAACACGATCCGAGAAATTTCCCCAAAACCTGACCCAACCTTTTCCCTTTTAATACCTTTATGATCTTATCCGAGACCTGACCAGATTTTTTTCTTATGTTATCCTGTGAATCCGTGGTATATTTATTATAAATTTAATTTTACCGAACAGCCTGTTTTGTACGTTCTTCAATGTTAATTTGATTCATATATTTGATCAAAATTTTTACATATTTATGCCAAGGAACCCTTTTGAGAATAGCAGTAAACAAATTTAAAGCTTGTTCAGCTAGCGCTACACGATTTGGAGCATTTTCAAGGAAATAAGGTTCGATAATTGGCAAAATGTATTGAATTAAAGGTACATGACTGATTTTAAGCTGTGCAATGGAAAGAAAAAAATTAAAAATATAATAATTAAAAATTACCTCATCATTATTTAAACGTTTTGCAAGTTGATTAAAAGCTTGTTTGCGTTTATGTGTTTGAATATGTAATGCACATTCGAAAAAGTCCATTTCTTGATCTAAAAATAGAATAGTACAAACAATTTATTTAAAATTGAAGTCTAATATAGTCAGACGACTTCATTATAAAATAGATTGGGATCTTATAATGAAGTGTACCTTAAATTGGGGTTATAGCCTTGGTCTCTCACCCAGTAGGCAAGCGAATTTAAAGTTCTATCTTATGTAAAGTAAAATGGTCCGATGTAATAAAAATAAAACCTTTCGTGTCACTATCATCAACTATCATTGAATCCCCACCAATTTCTCTCAACGCCGTCAAATGAGAATCCGAAGGAAATGAACGCATAAGTTGTATCAAACATTGAAAAAATTCTTGTCGAACAGGCTGAATAATTTTAAAAAATTTTTAAATTATCCTAAAAAATAAAATAACCTCCATTTTCTCATCGTTACCAGACTGTATGCCTTTTATCACAAGTGGTATTAAATGTGAATGTAAAAATTGACAAGGATTAAAAGAATCAGAATTCTCCAAATTATTTGGTTGTTTTGAGGCAAATATAATTAATTGTCGAAAACAATTGGATGCAGTACCGCGTAAGGAAATGTCGGAAGACTTGAAAATTTTTTATAAAAAATTCAATTTAAAATTTATTTTAAAAAATACATTAATCATAGCATAAGCATGTGAATGAGCAAACAAAGGCAAAAATTCATGAGCACCGTTAACCAGAAGCTTGTCAAGGTCGCAGCGTTCGTACAAGTCGTGTAAACATAAAAGTGCTTCACATCGCCGTTCAGCATCTGGTTCAGATATTCGTCTAGCATCCCAACTTTCAAGTGACTCTATCAACTATAAATATGTATAAGGATTAACAAAAGTTAGACCTCATTGTAAGAAACCCAATGGACCTCACTACAAGTTCCCATGGTCAGTATAATATACCTCCTGGCCCTCATTGTAAGACACACTTGGAGCTCGCTATAAACACCCCTCGAATCCAGTAGAAGAGATCACTGGACGGACCCCTTACATGACTGACAAAACCTCACCTCATAATGAGGTACTTTAAAAAGTAAAAGCTTTCAACAAGTAGCCTAGTCTTCAACAACCTCGTCGATAGCTTGAAAGTTCAACAAACCTTTAGCAAATATCCCGCTTCCTGTATCATTTGCTTGTTTGCACATAGAGCTGAACAAATTCCAACAAGATGTTCTCGTGCCTGCCGTCCATTAAGAATTGAGAAAAGAGGACTGATTAAACTTTAAACAAAATTTTTATTTAAAAAAATCTCAAAAACTAACCGAATTGCAATTAAAGGATTCTCCAAATGAACACAAAGTCTGGTAAAAGTTGAAAGAAGATTATAAACTTTATCAATAGATTGACGACGTAACACCTTTCCATTTTTATTTGTAATGTATAAAAGAAGTGTTTGTGCAAAAAGTTGACCAAATTCTGGATCGTGAGTGAGAGAACTTAGCCTAAAATTTAAAAAATACATCTAAAATAATTTTTTTAAATAAACTTGTTAATAAATTCAAAATAAATTGGTGGCAAACGAGCAATCTTTGAATGGTCCCCACCAATAAAATGAGATAAATGCTGAAGAATTTTGCTGACATTTGATTTGGAAAGAATTAGGCCAACTCCAAATGTAACTAAAAAAATTTTAAAAAATAATAAGTCGGACGGCACTATAAGATAGACATAAATTTGAGAGACGTTTTTAAAAATTTATTTGAGCATTGGTTTTGGGAGCTGGTTAAACGAGAACCAGTATTTTCGGATTAATCCCGCGGGATCTTGAACCTGTCGACCTTTTGAAAAAACCGAAACAGGCCACCGGATTTGCGATAATGCCGCACACTTTCCTATAGGTAAGAAAACCTAAACCTGTGCTTATTGCAAGGGCGTAGCCAAGGGGGGGGGCTTCTGGGGCTAAAGCCCCCCCCCCCCCGAAATGGGAGAAAGGGGAGAAAAATTAGGAGAAGAATTAGCAAAAAAGTGAATTTTTTTGGCCTACGGCCTTCATAATTTTAAAAATTTTCGCCTGCGGCGCTAAAATGGAAGAAATCTGGCTTCTGAGCTCCAAAATTCAAAAAATTTTCGCCTGCGGCGCTGAAAATCACGATTTTTGGCGCCTGCGGCGCCGAAAAAGTGAATTTTTTGGCCTACGGCCTTCTAAAATTAAAAAAATTTTCGCCTGCGGCGCTGAAAAAAATAAAAATATGGTTCAAAAAAATTTGCGTCCAGAACGCCAAGGTAAACGCCAAAAATTTTGCGCACACCCAGTGTTAGCCCCCCCCCCCCGAAATCGACCCTCTGGCTACGCCCTTGGCTTATTGTTAAAATAAAACTCATAAAAGAACGGCTTTTTTGTTCCATGGGTGTATTTTATAGTGAGATCCAAGAACAAAAATTTTTAAAAGTTTCTTACCTTTACTGTTTTCATTAATTGTTTCGATTTTCTCATGTTGTATTTGTGCTTGAGGAAGTAATAAAGAAAAATCGTTTTCATCTGGAACAAAAATTTGATCATCCTAAAAACAAAATTTAAATTAAAAAAAAATAAAAATTTACCAAAGAGTTAAGCAATAAACTACAAGCTTGCACAATTTCAACATGTGCATTTTTTATTCTGTTAACATCTTCTTTATTGAATATTAAAAGTTGATCACAAAGCAATGAAAAAGGTGTAGTAGTTATTGTTTTTTCAATAGCATCACTTTCCAAATTTGTAGTAGTTCGGATCAATAAGGGGACATTAAGTAATGGTTGATATCTAGTAATTTTATTTAAAAAAATTTTTTTAACCAAAAAAAACCTTCTTATTTTTATCCAAAAACAAAACAGTTTAATTAATGAAGATGGCAATAAAATCAAACACTTTTGTTGAGAAGCAACAACCTTTCCTTTATTTTCGATTAAAGAAGTCAAAATTTCGTTGAAAAACGTTTCAATTGAAGTAACAAAAATAATACGAGTCTCAAAGGTTTGAAGAAACTAAATAATTAAAAAATTTAATTTATCCAAAAAATAAGATTGTATTTTCAGTTATATGTATGTTCCCATTTCTTTATTCCTTCAATAGAAATTAGAGTAGAACAGGGCCGGTTAATCGCCCAGTTAATTTTTACCTGTGGCGGGTCTTTTCTCTTCCCCTTCTCTTTTTGACCCGCCACATGAAAACATTAACCGGGCGGTTAACCGGCCTTCAGCTACTCTAGTCGAAATATTACAAAAAAAATTTCGGTGATTCAGCCCTCTTTTTCCTTAATTATTTCTTTTTTCCCTCACTTTCCTGAAATATACGAGTCTTATTCGGGCCAAATATCTTAGGCCCGACTCGATTTTTCGGTCCGAGTCGGTCCATTTTGGCAACCTTAATTATTATAAAATTCTAAACCTTAGTAATCGTTTCCATAAAAAGAAGTCTCAAGTTTTTTAATTGTCTAATTAATGGCGTAGTTTCTTCCTCTATTAAATTATTTTCACAAAACATTTGGTCACGCAGCAAAATTATTTTTCCAGATAAAAGCAAAATATTAAAAAGAAAATTTGTTTGAAAATCATTTAGAGAAGGACCAAGAAAAATGAAAATGTCTGTTAAGGAGCCAAGAATGCTAAAAATAATGTAAAAAATATTAAAAGTAAAAACCAAACCTTTTGAGTTTATTTAGAGAAACTGATGAAACTTGTGACTTTTTATTATTAAGCGATTTCAAAGTTTTCGAAATAGAAATATCGGTCTTTGTATCGTCATTTTCTTCTAAAATTTTGTATTATTTTAAATAGAAATATGTTAGAGTGAATCTCACTCTAGGATACCCTCTAGATAAACTTCACTTTTAATATGGTTGCCAATAAAAAAAACTTAATCCAAGAGCCGCCGTTGCCAAAAGCTGAAATTCCAAACAAAAAAAGCGAAATGGTTTAAGGAATTACGGCAACAAACAGAGCTAACTCCCTATTTTAGATATACATAACTCATTATAAAGGACTTTTAGACCCAAGGGTGTATCTTATGTATATGTAGTGAGGTCCACCCGTGTCTAGAATAAAAATTAAAACCAAAAAATGAACAAATAGGGCCAAATATAAGTTGAAGAAAAAGTTGCAATTCATCAGATAAACAATTTGCCAAAAAACGAAAAATAGCAATACGTCTAGCCTTTCCTCTTTGAGGAACATGTGTGTGTAAGGAACCATAAAGAATTCTAAATAATAAAAAATATCGAATTGAAAAATTTCAAAAGGAAACCTTAACAAAATTAGAATAAAATCTTTTCGATGTTCATCTAAAAGTGGAACTGTATTCGACGAATTTTTCCCAACTGTTCGTCCATGTTGTTCACTTGATAGAGCTTCTGTCTGTTGAGAATCTACACTAAAAAGTACAAGTTGCTCTCGAAAAGATTTTTCATTCAAAAGACGTTCCAAAGATGATCTGTAAAAATTAATAAAATTGTTAAAAAATTTTTTAAATTAAAAAAAAAAAATTTTATTGTAGGGGTAAGTTTACAAATAATTAATTTTTAAATTATTATTTGCACCGTTTACCACAAAAAAATATTTTATTTAATATTATATAGCAACATATCGCATGAGAATATTGGGATTTGTAAATGAATCCCACACCTCGGCATTGTTGCAATTAAAAAAATCTGAACGAAAATATAATCGCCTCGCTTATCAGAATGTCAATCAGGACCTTTCTTTCACCAAAGACCCGATCAGAAGAAAATTTTGAAAACCCCGGCCCGACTTTTTTTCTCATTTTAAACACGTTTCTAAAAAGATGATCACTGGGAAGTTTGGTATTTCGAGGGCTTTTGGTGATTCGGTATTTGAAGTTAGACCGTCAAGAGATGTCAGTTGGACGTCAAAAGATTTTTTTATCAATAACTCCCATTTAGGGTTGTCGGTTCTGGACCGAACCGAAGAACCAATGATTTTCGGTTCGGATATCGGTTCGGTTCCGGATATCCGAAAATCTTCGGTTCGGTTCTTCGGTTCGGTTCCGGATATCCGAAGATTTTCCAAGAACCGACAACCCTACTCCCATTTTAACATAACATCTAAAATACACTTCGTTATAAGAGACGCTTTAACGCCTCATTAGTATATCCAATAATGAGGCCCGATTATAATTTATCTTAAATAATACCTATAAGGGGTTAGCCAATTGTACTTGTAACAATACAAACATCCTAATGCAAGTCTCTGTATTTCAGATTCATTGACTAGAAGAAGCTTAAAATTGAAAAAATTTTCTCAAAGTAAATTACAAAAAACCTCATAATACATTTCTTTTATTTCTTCTTCTTTGTAAATTTGCTTAGGATTATTAAATTTGCCAAATAAAGAAAGCATAGCCTTTAATGGTTTAATTGCTTCTGTTTTTGAATTAAAGTTTAATGGGCGTAGATATTCTTTTTCTTGATCATCATCATTTATATCAATTTTGCTCCCTTCATTTTCTTCTTCCATTTTTGAAGTATTAACAAATTCATCTATTTGAACGAATTCTTCTCTAAAATATAAAAGGAGGAATGAGTCGAGTTACCAGAAACTCAATCAAGACCTTTCTTCGACCAAAGAACCGATCCTAAGAAAATTTTGCAAATCCGGGCCGACTTTTTTTACAACAGGCCCACCTACGAAGACTTTGAGTCCGCAAAAAAATTCTACAAAAAATCCCTTCAGTCTTCATATCAGTCCAAAAAATTGGAATACTAACCAACTGGCCCGCCTACTACTGACTGAGGAGTCGATAAAAAAAATTCCCCAAAAACTTTCTCGGTAACTCATAACAGTCCCAAAAAATCAAAATACTAACCTGTATAAACGTAAAAATTTTGGTGATAGGTAATTTGTTCTCTTTTCCGGTTTTATTGTATTAATTGGAAGTTTAATTAGTAGACGTAAAAGTTGAAGACGAAAAGCTTTAAAATCTGGAGGAAGTTGTTGACTGCTTTCATTATCACAAGTAGAATCTCCTTCTTTATCCCTTTTCACTTCAAAAATCATTTCCCAACAAAAATCCATAGCATTTTCAAAACAATTCCAAAAGCCTTCAAAACCAATTCCAACAGCATAAGATTCTATTGGTTCAACAAGTAATGGCCAATAAAGGGTAAAGCGTTCGTAAAACTGCGCAAAAAGCCAATCTAATACCAACTAAAAAAACTTTCGAATTTTTTATAAAAAAAAAGAAATACCATTGCTATATTTGTTCCATTTCCTAATTCTTTAATATTATTTGAAGTGTCTGAAAAGATTTTCTCAAATGAAGTAAATTTAAGACGCCTAAGGAGTTGAGCACGTTGTCGATAATTATGAAAATCTGCTGGGCACTCTTCAACTTCTATTAGAATAGCAAAAAGTTCTTTGACTGATTCCACAAACTATTTAAAAGAAAATCAAATTTTAAGTTAAAAACAGTTAGATAAAATGGATCGCTTGTAGTTCCTTTTTTGTCAGAATATCCGCAATTTTTGCAGTCATTAGGGATGGAAAGTTGTTTAAAAACAAAACAACAGTGGGAACGTTGCTTCATCACCGGGGAAAGGTAAAATGAGTTTCTAGTTTGGTATTTCGGCGTTTTGGCATTATAGCACCAACCCAAATCCTTGTGTAATTGCCTAACGTACAACGAAAAAACCGGAAATTTTGTAAAGATAAAAGGAACGTAAACGACAATTTTATAATAAAAATTACCAATGAATATTCAAATGAATCAAAATTTTGCAAAAGTGTTCTGAGGCAAGCTAGACGAACTGAACCATCAGGACTGCAAAGTGCAGAACGCATTTTTGACATTTCCTAGATTTAAAAAAATTTTTTAAAATGATCACAAAAAGTTTCAACATAAAAATGGAGAATCCATAAAAATCGAAAAATAAAAAAAACGTTTATTAAAAAAAAATTTTTATTTCATTGTGTTAAATCAGTATTAGATGAGGAAGCATCAGTATTACATCTTGTTTGATAAATTAACATGCTAAACAAATTTCGTAATTGTAATAAACTCTTGTCTCCATTAGATATTTGATCCATAAACAAGGCACCTAAAATCCAGATATATTGGCTATTTGAGTCGCATGAAGCGTTACGCGCCCCATAGAGCTGGTTATGAAAATTATCTCGCTTTCAAGTTTGGTTTTTGGTTCCACAAAAGAAACCGGTTACCTTTCAGGAATCCCACAGACTTATAAACAGTGCTTGAACTCTCGTACCAAAATTTGTTCTCGATGCGAAATAAAAATACAAACAAAAACTAAATTTTCAGTCACTAATCAAGTGAAAAATGTGAATACTACAATGTTTATTCTTGATACCCGGCCAATATATAAATTACGATTTTGCTAGTATTTTTGGTCTCGTATTTCGCATCAGTACGAGCAAGTACAAATTTTTGTACGCGTACAAGCACTGCTCATGAACCGAACAGAGCCTATTTATTAACTAAAACAAACCTTCTCGATAACAACGTTCACTCAACATGGGGTAACGAGCATGGAAGCAAAGAATAGCTCTTCTCAAGGACAACAAAGCTTTCCTCTGTCTTTGTTCTGGAATTTGAAAAATAATCAAACCTTTTTTTGAATTCAAACCTTTATTTGACGTATTTTGTCCTTTAATTAAATCATCAGCGGTTGTTTTAAATTCTGAAAAATAATGCAGCCCTAGCTGTAAAGCAAGTGAATCAGGAAGGTTCTCTTCTTCTTTTGATGACATTAAATTCTAAAAAATATTTATTTTACAAATTTGATAATAAAGAAAGTATTGAACAAAAATATGAGGAATAGAGCTAAATAATAGAAAAAATATGCCTAACGGGTAAACCCCATTACGGCGAGCTCACGGCTATAACTTCGTTTAAAAATTTTTTTTACGAATCAAGTACACCAATGTATGAAACGAATAGGGGAATATCCTAATTTTTCTCCACTCTGTTTTTCCGGTTAACCACCCCGAGGCTTATAAATCAATTATGGCCAAAAAGCCCAAATAATGAATCGGCGGATACTGCATCGGCGGTACTGAATCGTCCCCCACCCAAATTCTACGGGAGAAGGGACTTTTGAGTATAGCCGTTTGAGAATTGGCCGTTTGGATCTATGGCCATAACTCTCTTTATTTTCGTCCGATTCTTATAATTCTCATATAATTCGAAAGGTCTCGTAATGCGGCATCTTTTTCATAATTTGATCGATTTGATCTGATCATCGCAAAAAGAGTTAAAGACGGAAATCATTTTTCTGCTTGTGACATCGTTTATCAGTAATAACTTTTTATAGAGTGATCAGATCAGGTAAGCCCAATTATAAAAAAGATGCAGCACCTCGAGACCTATCGAATCATATATAAATTTTTCTGAAAGATTGATTACAACAAAAGTTATGGCCAAAAAACAGCTATACTCAAACGGCCAATTCTCAAACGGGCTTTTCCAGTTTTTCGGAAAATTTTTAATTTTTTATTTAATTCAAATCCAATCTTCTTTATTAATAATTGAACTTTTAGATCAATATCCCTGTGGCTCAATCTCATCAAATAAAGCAATTCCTTCAAATATGTCTAAACAACACAAAATTTTAACGCCGACAGTCTCTTCTGCTTCATCTTCTTCTATTTCTGTTGTTCCTGCTACTCCGTCGCCTTCACCATCTCATAAATCTGCTGAAGTACGAAAAAATGTTTCAACAGAAAGCTCTTCTAAACAAAATAAATTTCAACGAAAACGAAAATTGGTTGATTTAATTGAATCATTAAAAAATCTTTTTTTTTTTAATTTAGGAATCATCTTCTAGTACTAGTCAATCGCCAATTCCATTAACTGTCTCATCGAATCTCAACTCTAGTCTCCCAACTTCAAAGCAGACTTTGCCATCTACTTCAGAAAAGGAGAACAAAGGAAGGCACATTTGGTAAATTATTAATATAGTAAAGCAGCTGGGCTATAGCTATTTCTCTCCTTTAGCTAGTGCAAAAGGTTAATCGGCGGCTGGGAGCGAGCCAGCATCTTCAGTAGACCGGACTGATTTTTTAGCCATTACACCACGCCGCCTACTGCACAGCCTTAGGAATTAAATAGCTATATGCTTTACAATATTTAAATTTTTAAAAATCATTTTTAGAGTATCCCATCGAAAGCTGAACAACAAAAACTCGTTCCTTTGGATCCAAATAATCAACTAGTTCAACTCCAAATTCGCCAGACAAAACTTAAAAAAATTTATGAAGAATATGTCAAAATTTGTGTGAATGATCCAAAAATGGCTATTGAGAGTGTTAGTTTTAAAGTTTATATAAATTAAAATATTTTTATTTTTAAGGCACAGCTTGAAGAGAAAGGGATTATTGATGGTTGTGCTATCAAAGCTGCGTATATGAACGCAATGCCTTATGTCATTAGACGACTCAGAAATTTTATTTTTAACCGAGAGAATCCGACGAAGAACCCAGGTTTTTAAAATCAAAATTTATTAATTGAGAAAAATTTATATTCTGTCTCTCATAAAAATTTTTATTAGGTTTTCGTTATGAGTCACTTGCTATTGGGTGGCAAAAGGCGAAACGGATTGCTCAACAGTAAATTATTTTTTTTTAAATTCTATTTTTTATTGACATTCAATTTTTAGTGTCTACAACGAATTGGAAGCATATATACTTTCTGATGACCAGCTTTGGGAAAATGGCTATCCAAGATGGACTACATTAACCCAGGAAATTGATGACGATTTTGTATTTAAATTTCAAAACTTTATTATTTTAACTATTTTTAGGATTCATTTGATGAAAGGCCTAGAAATATTGTTGAAATCCGACAATCTGAATTGGATTCATCTAAGGGTCACAGCAAGTCGTTCATATCTGATGATGGTATAACATTTTATTAATATTTAATAGATTTTTTCAAATGTAAACGATTAAGAGTAGGATTGTGCACGACCGGTTTTTAAAAGAAAATTTTGGTTAACGCCAAACGGGGCTTTTTTTGCCAAAAATTAACCGTTTTTACAAAATTTAAAAAAAAACTAAAAACTTCTGTAAACGATTGATTTTTATTAAAAATCCCCCCAAAAATAAAACCGGTATTTGTCTTAACTCAAAACCGGATTTTTAAAAATTTTTAAAAATTTGGATTAACCGAAAATCGGGGGATACCGGTTGTTAACCGGCCGGTCGTGCACAACCCCTAATTAAGAGTTTAAAAAATTGTAATTTAGATTTAAAACGTGTTTGCTCTCGCTGCGGAATTGAATATCAATTAACGCCAAATGGGGCTTATGTTTCTTCTGAGGAATGTATCTATCATTGGGGACGAGCTTGGAAGGAAAAGAGTAAATTTTATTTTATTTTTTTACTCTTTATTTAGTTCAAGGTGTTGTTGAAGCTCATTATACTTGTTGCCAATCTACTTTAGATGTTCGTGGATGCGTTGTTGCTGGAATGCATGTAACACAAACTTTGAGACTTAGTGCTTTGGAACAATATGTGAGTACACCAAAACCCTGTGGAGTAGAAGATCCTAGATCTACAAAAGTTTATGCAATGGATTGTGAGATGGTCTATTCAAATTGGGGTCCAGAAGTCGCTCGGTAACTTTAATAAAGTTCATTGGGGACACTCCTGAATAGTTGCGCGGCCATAAGGTCGCCAAGCCATAACTTGCTTTAGGATTTTCGAATCTTTCCAAATTTAGCAATAAACGATTCCTCTCATCGAGCTAAAGAGATTGGTACCGAAATTGATAAGGTATAGGGCCAGGAAAATTATATAAGGGCCAGAAATATTTTAGCAAGTTATGGCTTGGCGACCTTATGGCCGCGCGACTATTCAAGCTGTACCCAGTTTATTGGACTCTCAACATTATTTTTCAGTGTTTCTGTTGTTGGTCGTCTTGAAGAATTAGTTATGGATGTATTTATTCGGCCAGAAAATACTTTAATTGACTGCAATACTAGATTTAGTGGATTAGATGGCTATGAAATTCTCACTGCAGAATGCACTCTGGATAAAGTAAATAAGCTGGCCAAAAAAGTACCTAATTTAATATTAAAGGCACGCGAACGCTTATTTGAATTGATCAACTCTGAAACAATTTTAATAGGACATTCACTTGAAAGAGTTTTGCGTGCATTACGCCTTGTACATACCCGTGTTGTGGATACTAGGTAGGTGGAGGATACGAAAAAAATTTTTATTTTATGAAATTCTATTTCAGCATTGTCTTTCCTCATCCAAATGGCCTTCCGCAAAAGAGAGCACTTAAAACATTAGCTTCTGAAATTCTTCAAATAATCATTCAAGAGGAAGGTGAGAATCTTATATTTTATTTTTGTATTCTTTTTAAATTATAGAAGGTGGTCACGACAGTAAAGAAGATGCATTGACCTGCATGAGAATTATGTTGAGGAAAGTACGTGCTGTAGAAGGCTGATAAATACAAAAATTTTTATTCTTCGTTTACTTTAAATTTTATTTAAATAGTATTATGTGTAACACTCAAAGAAATTTATAAATCCTTTTGCTTATTGTTTTAATTTTGTCATTTTAAGCTTTTAATTTGTCATATTTTGTCCCAAGTGATCTTTTTTGATTATTTTAGAAAGGATCAATCCAGAAGGTCAACACCCTAGTGGCCAACTCACCCCCCATTTGTGGCTTTTTTGCCCTGACCCTCATTTCAAAAAGTTATAGGGGTAATCGTGAAGAATTGGGGATACACTTTTAAAAACCTTGAAATTTATTATTTTTTCTGAAAATTATTTTATACAGGTAATCGACCATGCTGATCTCGAATCCGATAACAGATTTTGTCAAATATGACATTTTATCTATGATTTCTTATCATGTACTTGATTTCCAGCTAAGATTCTGTTGGTCATAACTTTGTTCAGAATCATTCAATCGAGCTCATTTTGGTGCCATTCGCCTCATCTCGACGAGCTCTTTCGAATGAGGGGTCATTTGTATAATCGAATTTTTTGACCCCAAAAATTTTCAAATTTCGGGGTCTGTAACTCGGCCGAATGACTCGGCCGAATGTAAAGCAAGTGAGCCAGGAAGGGGTTTTTCTTCTGCTAATGACATTATAGTCTAACAAAAGTATTTATAAATTTGAAAAATATTTATAATTTTAACAAAAATATTATAATTCAAAAAAGAAATGAACAAAGATACTTAACACAACAAAAATTTAATAATAAAATTTTATATGCAAAAAATTTTAATGATAAAAATCATAGCTGTGAGCTAGGAATTTTTGTGGGCATCTTTTTACGAATATTTTTCAAATTTTTTCATACCCTTCAGCAGTTGCAGATAATGGACATTTTGTGGCTCCGGTTCCTACACTTCAAATTTTTTCTAGGCTAAGGTCGTTTTAAAATCTTAGCTCCGCTGGAGCTGGGAGCTAGCTCCTGAAGGCATACCCAGCATTTCTCCTGACTCCTCACAATCAGTCAAATTTCTAAACTTTTATATTTATAGTGGATTTAATAATTCAACACCAAAAATTTCTTCACAAATAGCAACGAAGAATAAAATTATTTTTCACGGAGGATTCAAATATTACCACAAAGAGGGTAATATATTTCGTTGCGAAATGAATCAAAATAAACAAATCCGTTGCAACGGAAATTTGAAGATCAAATATAATAAAATTATAAAAGCAAAACCACATATTGATCAGTGCATTAAGGTATTATTTTTTATTTAATTTTATTTAATAAATATTTTTTTTTCTAGAATAAGTTATTTGGTTTTGAGAGGTTTTAGAAAATTTATTAATATAATTAATTAACAAAATTTTGTAATTAATTAACATTGTTTTTTTAGAAAACCTTTTCAACGTCCAACAAATATTCAGCAACATGCATTGCTTTTTTTTATATTTTCTAGCGCGTTTTTTGGCTCCCATTCCCTCCATTCATCAAAAGAACCATGTGTACAAGCATCGATCTTAAATTTCAGATTTTTAAATGAATTACAAAATTTTAATGAAATTTTCATTTTTCGGGATTTTTAGGATACCTTTTCTAAATAAATTTATTTGTAGGATCAAGAACAAGAATTGCTGGATGTGCTTTATGATCCAGCATTTCATGCTGTCTACTCAAAAAGTGGAAAATTTGTTCCACCTGAGAAACTTTTATCACCGCTTGCTTTTTCTTCTTCTATTTCTGTTGTTCTTGCCAATCCGTTACCTATAGCTGCTCCATCTCATAAATCTTCATCTTCGGTTCAGACAAACCGAAGATGAAGATTTATGAGATGGAGCAGCTATAGGTAACGGATTGGCAAGAACAACAGAAATAGAAGAAGAAGAAGCAAGCGGTGATAAAAGTTCCTCAGGTGGAACAAATTTTCCACTTTTTGAGTAGACAGCATGAAATGCTGGATCATAAAGCACATCCAGCAATTCTTGTTCTTGATCCTACAAATAAATTTATTTAGAAAAGGTATCCTAAAAATCCCGAAAAATGAAAATTTCATTAAAATTTTGTAATTCATTTAAAAATCTGAAATTTAAGATCGATGCTTGTACACATGGTTCTTTTGATGAATGGAGGGAATGGGAGCCAAAAAACGCGCTAGAAAATATAAAAAAAGCAATGCATGTTGCTGAATATTTGTTGGACGTTGAAAAGGTTTTCTAAAAAAACAATGTTAATTAATTACAAAATTTTGTTAATTAATTATATTAATAAATTTTCTAAAACCTCTCAAAACCAAATAACTTATTCTAGAAAAAAAATATTTATTAAATAAAATTAAATAAAAAATAATACCTTAATGCACTGATCAATATGTGGTTTTGCTTTTATAATTTTATTATATTTGATCTTCAAATTTCCGTTGCAACGGATTTGTTTATTTTGATTCATTTCGCAACGAAATATATTACCCTCTTTGTGGTAATATTTGAATCCTCCGTGAAAAATAATTTTATTCTTCGTTGCTATTTGTGAAGAAATTTTTGGTGTTGAATTATTAAATCCACTATAAATATAAAAGTTTAGAAATTTGACTGATTGTGAGGAGTCAGGAGAAATGCTGGGTATGCCTTCAGGAGCTAGCTCCCAGCTCCAGCGGAGCTAAGATTTTAAAATGACCTTAGCCTAAAAAAATTTTAAGAGTAGGAACCGGAGCCACAAAATGTCCATTAACTACCCACCCTCCCCTCCCCCACTGCTGAGGGGTATGAAATTAATTTCAAAAATGTCCGCAAGAAAATTTCCCTAAAAAATTCCTAGCACGCAGCTAGATTCTTCCAATAAAAACAAAAAATGGATAAAGAATGGGTCGGGTTACCTAAACCTTAAACCCGGACTTTTTTCGACCGAAATCCGACTCGATTTTTTTCCGACCCATCCATAGTATGGACAAAAAATTATTTAACAAACGCCATTATCAACAAAATAATCAATTGCTTTGGCCTTTCCACATTTTAAAACAGAACTTCTTTCAACAGGAAGCATCTTTTTGATTAATTCATGTAGTTGAAGATGACACTTAATTTGAAAAAATTTTATTTAAAAATATATTTTGAAAAAAAACCGGTGACAATTGAGATGATTCTAAAAGTGCAATAATGAGTCGAGTCGAGGCAATTCCAGTGCCGTTGCAAGTGTGACAATAATGCAGAGAAGTATTATTTGGAGAACTGTCAGATCTGCCATTTAAAATATAAGTTTATAGTAGGAACTTGGATCTCACTATAAAATAAACCCATTTTTGGATACTTCCCATTTAACATTCGTTTCGAAAATTTAGTTGGACAATGGTTATGGGAAAGCAAGGCCCGTAACCAAGGCCGCAAAATTATTACCAAAGAAAAGTCCTAGTTTAAGGGCCTGGGGAGAGCCGCCTAAGCGATATTCCTATTTTTAAGATACACCTCTTTATAAGATACCTCTCACTTTAAAATAGATTCACAATAAAAGAAGGGTAAAATCTAACTGTCTACCAAATTTAATCCCTCCCGACACCCCACAGCCTCTCCCTTGTTAGTGCTAAATTCCCAGGAGTGTATATTATAATGAGGTCAGACTGTATTTTGAAAAAAGTAAAAACCTATAAGAAATTTTAAGCCTTCGAGATTGATAATCAGTACAATTGCTAGCACTAGATAACTCTCCCCATTGCTTCCTACCAGGCAACCACGTCTCTATATCAAATTTTTGAACAGCGGAATCTCCCAGCTCTTCTTGACACATATCCAAAAGACTAAAAAATTTATAAAAATAAAAATTAGAAAAGAAAAAAATAACCGACAATGAAGCCCCAGGGAAGAAAATAAATTTTTTTGAATTTTTACAATCCGCTGCAATTCATCCAAACTTTGTTTTTCAGTGCAGACAACAAACATTTCAACCTTAAAAAAATAATCTTTAAATAAAAAACAAAAAAAACCTTTTTAAATTGATGAACTCTGTATAGACCACATTCTAAACCTCCTTTAGAAATTTCAGGACGAAAACAGGTGCTTTCTGATAAAAAATATGTTGGCAATTGATCTTGTTGAAAAACACGGTTTTTAAGTCTAAATAAGAAAAAATCTTAATTTTATTAATTTGGGTAAAGTTTAATTTTTTTAATTTGGCACAGGCAGTTTCAGGCCCTATAGCACAACTTTTTTATAATTCACCACTGTTTAGTTTTCCAAAATTCCTGTATCTGCCTTAAGCAGCTCTTCATTAAATGAATAAAATTAGTTTGAACTAAGTCAGCCCAAGGATACGGTTTTCATGGCCCAGTAGCACAAACCTAACCTTCAGCAAAAATAAATCAAAAAAATTAAAATTTAACTGATTTGCAATTCCCATTTCTGCTGTTCCAGAAAGACAGAAGTCTAAATCATCAGATAATTCAATTTGAGTTTGACTAGAATTGTAAATATCATCAGCATTAAAAATTCGATATTGCATCGGATTTTGACCAGTTTGAAAAGGCACACCACAAGCTCTTGTTGTAGAAACCTGAAAAGAATTGTATAGTCTCTGATGGAAAGACAAAAGAAAACTAACGGAACTAACTTAAAAAGGCGGGAGTAAGTTCGCAAAAAATACGCAGACGAAAAATAAGTCCGCAGAAAATATGAAAACTTGCGGACAAAAATAAGTTCACAGAAAATTTGCGGACAAAAAATAAGTCCGCAAAAATTTGAAACGCAAGTCCAAAACAAGACCTTTGCAGACCCAAAAAGTTTGCAATTCTTGCGAAAAAGTTCACAAAAGACTTATTGTCAACTTACAGGTAGAATATCCTCCACATTAACCATCTCCACATTCTTAACATTATCATCCAATTGAAGCTGTTTCCAAACAAAATTAAAAGCATAGTCTAGTACAGCACGTTCTATATCAGCAAGAGTTCCTTTAAAAAATTAATTTGAAAAATCCAAAAAAATTTTAAAAAACCAATCAAAGCATAACTTCTCCCACCACAACCATGTCTAGGCCATCTAAGAACAGACCAGTTTTCCACAAATTTTTCAGCAGGCTTTATATAGCTTTCTTCTCTTTTTAATCCACCAAAGTGTTCTACAATTTTGTTTTCGTCTTTTGATTGAAATTTGTTGTTAACTAGAGCTTGTGAGCAAAATGTTGAAGTTCTTGTGAAACTTGAAAAACAAAATTTAAAAAATGTATTTTACAGACTTAAACAAACTTTGTAAAAGGCAAGAGAAAATATATTTGTCGAGTTGACATTGCAATATATTTGTTGTTAACTAGAGCTTGGTATCAGGAATGTTGTATCATAACAGAACCAAAATTGCAACTAAAATTTGAATATTGAAGCACACGGAATATGCAAAGTTGCAGGGTACAGCCCTAAACGGCGCTCGACCATAACGGCGCAAAGCCATAACTTAATGAAAAATGTTTGACGCTTGTCAATTTTAGTACCAATCTCCTTAGCTCGATGAGAGGAATCGTTTAATACAAAATTTGGTAAGATTAGAAAACCTAGAAAATCTTGAAGCAAGTTATGACCGCGCGCTGTTTTGGGCATGTACCAATGTTGCAGCCTTCGCATTTTGCAAAAGACAAAAAAAGCGGAACGAAATAAAACACGAAAGACAAAATTGATAAAAAATCCTTACGAAAAAAATAAAAATGATAAACAAAAACAAAATAAACAAAAATGGTACACGACAAAATGGTACAATGTCAGAAAGTGAGTATAACGGTAAACATAAATTAGGTCATGTGACAAAAGTTGTACAGTACCATTTTTGGGTACCATTATTCATTATGTTGACGAGAAGGGATTCTGCGGGATTATACCAGTGATTAGAAATTTCCATCTTAATCTCCACCTATAAAAGCACCAAATTCAAAACTTAAAACAACTCCAACCAACAAAACATCGCTTCACACTTCTCTCCAATATTCGTGATGGGTCTCTACCTCGCTTTGTTTTCTCTTCACGACGCCTATTACCCGTCTCTTCTGTTGCCGCTTCTGATTATTTCAACGGTCTTGCTCGTCAAATGCGCTAAGAAGAAGAAAGCGAAACAGGCCAACGCAATGACTGTGAAAGCGAAACGACGTAATCTTTTTTTTTGTTGTTTTTTGACTTTTAAAAAAGAGAATTTTTTTTCAAGCTCCTCCAAGGATTCAAGAAGAAAAACCAAGAAAGGAAGGCGTTGCCGCTGTCAAGGACTATCAAACATTGGGCAATCTGGATGCAAATATCTTCCTAAAAGAGCAAAAGAAAAAGGGTGGCGGCGGCAAGACGCCTGAGGCTAAAGACAAAACAGCGGTCGAGAAAACGAAGGAAGGAGCTGATAAAAAGGATGATTCTAAGGACAAAAAGGATCCTAAGGTGCTTTTCAGACCTTTAATTCCTTCAAAGAATAATTCCAAATTTTTGACAGGCTGACAAAACCGAAGCAGCGGGGAAGGATGGAGACAAACAACCTGAAAAAACGGCTATGGTCAAAACCCAAACGCCTCCTGTCCCAGCGGATAAGAAGGAAGCGCCTGCTGCTGCAACAGACAAACCACCGGCGGCTGAGAAACCGGCGGATGACAAAAAGGAAAAGGGAGGAGAGGAGGAAAAGAAGTCGAATGCGCCGCCGCCGCCGCCGCCGCCTGCTGCTGTTGCTGAAGATCAAGGAGGAGATAACTATGAGACGTTGAATGAACTTGAGAACCCTAAATAAATTGTAGATTCAAAAAAGGATATATAAAAAAGAAATTTGTGATATATATGTGTGTATATAATGCTGTTGTGTAGATAGTGTTGTTAAGTAAAAATTGTTCTTTTCGATTGTATGATTATTAAATTACTTGTCAAACCTGACTTGTAGGGACACCCTTGGAGTTGAAAAATTTGTGTTCTATAATGAAGTTATCACCAAATTTTATAATGAAGTTATCACCAATTAATCACCAAACTTTAAAGTCTCTTATATTGAGAGTATCTTATTGAGAGGTGTTTTTAAGAGGGTGATATCGTTAAACAGGTGATATTGCTTAGAGGCTTTTAGGCCTTTGTTGCTTAGATACCAGTGTCCAATCAACTTTAAGAAGCTTGGTCTAATACAGAGGTCTCTTATATAGAGCGTCTCTTATATAGAGGTGTAGCTCACATTGGATGTATCAGAAAGTTTGACTCTAATTAAATAAATCTCAATAGCAGACTAGTATTTTGTAGCATTTTTAATCATCAATCCGTTCATTTTTTGACGGCAGGGAATCTTCTTTAATCTAGTCTTCTAATCATGCCACTGATCATAACAAAATTGATCATTTAAAATTTTCTTTTTTCCAATTTTATTGCGAGTTTGCAGTCTTTTGTTTTTTCTCTCGTCAAACATAATGAGCTCATCACAACGACAGCTTAGAAAATACCACAATTGTAGAGAAGGAACTTAAATTTACTAAATACAGCGAATTCTGATTAATAATCTTTTCCTTTCTTCTTTTCTTCTCAGAAAATCTTCTTTCTTCTCAAAAATAATTTCAGCAAAAATAATTTTTTTGGCAGACCAGAATATGTGTGTTGTTTACAACGATCATTTTTCTCTTTGAAAATTTCCTTGAAATTATTTTCTTTACCCCAATTTAATTTAATTAATTATAAATTCCCGCCTTTAAAATTTGCTTTATAAAACGAGAAAATAATTTTAAATAAACATCTATAAAATACTTTAAAATCGTCTCACTTTCATATACTGTTGAGTGGGTGATTTTAAGGAGGGGAATTTTTTTAAAAATTTAGTTTTGCAATAAATTCACAAATTAACGTAAGAAAACGGCAAACCCCATGTACTAGGCACCGCTCTATTTAAGATACGCTACTTAAAATTTAGTAGGCCAATGGGTTGAGGAGCTGCCTAAGCGATATCTCCGTTTAAGATAAGCCTCATTATAAAATACCCCCAATACTGGATACACCTCTATTTAGGATACGCTCTTTAAAATTTAGTTAGTTGGTGGGGAGCTGCTATGCAATACTCTTTAAGTTACCTTCTATTTAAGATAAATCTCACTATAAGATACAATTTTTTCAGGCCAAGGATTACCCCATTTTTATAAAATCTTTTAAATTTAGTTAAAAATGAACAAATCTTTGTTGATTTTCATTTTGTTAAATATTTTGGCAATTTCTTTAAATTTTGTCGAGTGTGGATACAACCGAGGCGGAGGAGGCTTTGATTCAAGCAGTGGTAAATAATTCTTATTTGTATATTTTATCCACTAGGTAGAGGAGCTTCTTATCTTAAGTACCCCCAATATAAGACACTTCATTATAAGAGCCCCCTCATTATAAGAGACGCCCAATACTAGATGCACCTCATTTATAAGACATCTTTATGAATTAGGTTGGCCCCTGGTGGGAGGAAAGCTTCTTAAGCATTACCCCTTATTTAATAAACCCCTCATTATAAGGCCAATTTTCATCCCCCATGATCCGCCTTCTTCTTAAGTACATACCTATATTTAAGGTGGCAGTGAATGGAGTCAATCATCAGGGGGTAGTAGCAGTTTTGACAACGGTGATGGTGGCGGCGGTGGAGGTTTTGGCTCTCCCGGCTATAATGGAGGAGGAAGTGGATATAATAGAGGAAAGAAATGAGAATAAATTAAAAGCTAAAATATGAGGGAATTTTTATTAAATTTGTATAAATTAAAAATTGTAAAAAAAAAAATTTTTTGATATGCATATTTAATCAGATAAACAATTTACTGTTTATAAACGAACTGGAATTAGAATATTTATTAGGTATGATAAAAAGAATATTTATCAGGGATGGTCCCTAGATTAAGCTTGACATCACTATAATGTACCACCTCTCGGAGGTTGAAATGACGTCTTGAACAAGAGGTACAGCCCACCCAGTTAGCCAACCAAATTTTGAAGGGCGTAAATTAAATAGTGTAAAGCATATAGCTATTAATTTCCTAAGGCTGAGCAGTAGGCGGCGTGGTGTAATGGCTAACACATCAGTTCGGTCTACTGAAGATGCTGGTTCGCTCCCAGCCGCCGAATAACCTTTTGCATTAGCTAAAGGAGAGAAATAGCTATAGCCCAGCTGCTTTACTATAGAGGTGTCAATCCCGACTAACAATTCGAGTGAAGGGATAGTAGAGGTGAAATGAAATTTTTCCGTCCTTGCTCGGGCTCGAACTTGGGATCCTTATACGTGGGAGGAGGATCCTAATACCTAGACAGACTCAGTGTAAACCGAGTTGGGCTTTAACCAATTTCTCGGTACTCGGCTACTCGGTGCTCGCTCGGTTTCCTCCAATTACTCGGTACTCGACGTACTCTTAAAAACAACAAAAAACGGGTACGGCCCAAGTAGGCGCACGGCCAAGTAGGCGCAAATCCATAACTTGCTTCAAAATTTCCGAATCTTACCAAATTTGATATTAAACGATTCCTCTCATCGAGCTAAAGAGAATGGTACCAAAATTGTTAAGGTCCATAAATTTTTCAGGTAGTTATGGCTTTGCGCCTACTTGGCCGCGCGCCTACTTGGGCGTGTCCCACAAAAGCCCAAAAAGATTTTTGCTTAAAACTCCTAAACACCTAGGAAATACTGAAACAATTTAAATTAAAATTTATCTTATTCAAATAAAAACAATATCCACTTAATATACAAAAATTTATTTACAATCCATTTATCAATATTAGATCAACAAAAAAATATATTTATTTATTCCCTTCACTATTCTGTGTATCCGAACTTTTCAAAAAATTTTAAAAAAAGGGCTTACATTAGTAAAATAGTCACAGAAATTATTCCAATAATAATAAGCATTCCGGTCCCTTCTTTTACTAACATCATACATACAATATCTTCGATTGACGATAACCCTTGCGGCCTGTATTGTTGTGCAGATGGGTAAATATAACTAAAATCTTTTTGTTTTTATAGCAAACTTTTTTAAATTCAAAGTCCTTTTTTGATTTTTCTTGAGAATATTTCTTTATTCTTATGTAAAGCATATAGCTATTTAATTCCTAATGCTGTGCAGTAGGCGGCATGGTGTAATGGCTAACACAGCAGCCGGTCTACTGAAGATGCTGGTTCGCTCCCAGCCGCCGATTAACCTTTTGCACTAGCTAAAGGAGAGAAATAGCTACTATAGCCCAGCTGCTTTATTCTTATATTCGGGTACAGCTTACTTTTCGACACCTCCAGCATTGGGTCTTCTATTCAGGATAAACACTTTAAAAAGGAATCGAAGAGAGATAAGCGTTCTAGATCGGCTTTGAGGGGCACAAGAGCTTGAGAAGAAGGGTTATTGAAGAATTAGAAGAGAGAAAACTGTTCTAGATCCATATTTCCCGGTCGAAGAGCTCCAGAAGAAGCATCATTCAAGAAGTCGAAGAAGAATAATGACTCTAGACTGGATTTGAGGGAGCCCGTGAAAATCTGATTTAGAACACTTATCTCTCTTCGCTCTCTTGAAGGATGCTTCTTCTCGAGCTCTTCGACCGAGAAAAATGGATCTAGAATCGTCATCTCTCTTCGATTTCTTCAATAACCCTTCTTCTCGAGCTCTTGTGCTCCTAAAAGCCAATCTAGATCACTCCTCTCTCTTCGACTCCTTGAAGAGGCCGAGAAAAGAGTTCGAGAAAGAACCTCAAGAAATCGAAGAAAACAGCTTATTCTAGATCCAATTTTCTCGGTCGAAGACATCGAGAAGATTTTTAGAACAAAAATTTTTTTTATAATTTTAATTTACTCTATAATTCTTCTATTGCATACTAAAACTATAAAGAAAATTTTAAAAAAAATTTTATTTTTCTAACCAATTCACATCGACCGCCGTCCACTTAATTTGATTTGGACTGCTTCTTGTCCTTTACTTTTATTTTCTTATTTTGCCTCTTATGCTTGTTTACTAGCTCTGTGTGACACTCACAACAACCTCCCCCTTATTTTTCAAGATTTACCCTCTCTTCTTTTTATTTTTAAAAATTATTTACGCAATTCTTTTTCAATTGTATTCGGTTATAAAAAATGAGAAAGGTTCTTAAAATTAGTATAGAAATATTTTTTATTTTTGTTTAAGCTTGTTCTTTAATTGTTTTTATTTTTAATTCAACTTAATTGTTCAACCTTTAAATTTTTATTAAACTTAAAATTATTTTCTCTTTCAAAAAAATTTTTTTAATGAAGGAGATGATTAAACAAGGCGAATAGTTGCTCGTTTATGCTACATACATATTAGAGTTGGATCCAGATCGGGGTAGCCCTTTCTAAAAGCACATTTTTTTCGATAAAACCCGCAAATATTAATTTATTTTTCATTCTTCATTTCTCTTTTACTTGAAGTAATTCAATGCCAAGTATTAGGTCAAAATTCTTTTCTCTTTTAATACAATTTAGAGGGGAAGAGTTTAAGAGGGAGGCAAAAGTTTGGACCCTTTTGACAGTTATTGCTTCAAGTGCTTACCGAAAGTAAGGGTAGGGTTCCGCGAAATCGGTCACCCTGACTTTTCGACCCGACAATCCCTGCTCCACCGATCGAGCTATCGAGGTGCTGCTAACGCCATCCTTTTTATTAGATCTTAAACCCCGCCTAAGTAAGCTTTTTTAAATGCTAACCAGTTGGATCTCTCCCCTTCTTCCTTACCCTTAGAAAGCTACTTTTTATAGACCTGTCTGCTGAATAAATTATAAATCACCCAAAAGCTTTGAAAAAAATATTTTTTAAATTATTCACCTTTGAAGCTTTTTCTTATTCTCAGCTGGCATTAAAACTCTTCTCCTCTTCCCCTACCTTTTTTCAATTTTTTAAAGTGGGAAGAAGGGGTAAAGGTCGCTTTAATACTTCCAGCTGACAAAACAACCTTTTTGGCATTTGTTGACAGATGTAATCGATTGCTTCTTTATTTTTGCCATTCCTCTTTTTTCAAGCTACTTGAAAATACCAAAAATGTTTTTGGCCCACATATGGGGCAAAAAGTGCGGACTTTTTGATGGCAAGCAATTAATGTCAATGAAAATCAATGTCATTCAATTAAAAAATTTTTGTTGGGTATATCCTTCAGACGTGACCCTAGTCTGCCGCGGAGCTTATAACTAATCCTAAGTTAGTGGGATATAGACAATTTTGGTATGGTTCGACGCATCTTGAAGAGCTGCGTCGAATGGTACCAAAATTAACTTTCTATGACATTTTTACGTAAAGTTATGGCTCCGGGATTAGCCGCGGTCGCGGTGGAAAAGCCTGCTCCTTTTATACTTAAAGGGCTTTTAAAAGCTTTAAAAGCTTTTTTAAAAACTTTAAATTCTTAATTATTGCCTCAAAAATTTTTTTAATTTTTAGAAACCAAAGATTCCCCTCAAAAAATGCCAAAACCTTCAAAAAATATTTTTTCTAATAAAACTTGACAAATATTTAAAGGTAGAGACAGAATGCCAGAAAAGTGCCAAAAAAATTTTCTTTTCCCAACACTTTTATTTTGCTTTTATTTACAGCTCCTTTGACTTTTTTCTTGTAAAACTCAAAACTTAAGAGGGCAAAGCCTTAAACTCCCAAAATAAATCCCTCGAGGCTTTTTTGTTAGACAAAGTACATATAACCATTTATAAGAACTTTTTGACTGTTTTTAAAGGCGCTTTTCCTAAGGGATTTTTAAATACATTTTTTGGCATTTAACAAAGTTTTTGGTGCAACTTTTATTTTATTTTTACTTCCTTTCCTTATTTTTTTCTTAAAAATAAAAATTAAAAAAATGCTTTTTATTGTGTATGTCAGACCTCATTATATGTACTACATCTAGAGACCGGACTTGAAGTGTCGTACGAGAATCGAGATCTCGAAAAATTCTTAATCTCGATAACCGATTTTTTTTATCAAGATCTCGTCTTGGTTCGATCTCTAATATGTACATACTACACCTATGGAGTTGACAAAGGTCGTACCCTATAATGAGGTGTATCTTAAATAGAGGTATCTTATAGTGAGATTCGCCTGTGGACATATCTTTTAATGAGGCTTTCTTAAATAAGAGGTATCGTCTCATTATAAGGTACATCATTTGAATTCGTATTTTATAATGAGGTGTGCTTTATACAGAGGGTATGTAGTATTGGGTGTATCTTATAATGAGGTCATCTTAAATAGGGGATAGGTTTCTTTAGATAGAAGGTATCGCTTAGGCAGCTCCCCCACCCAGTGGCTACCCAAAATTAAAAAACTCGTCTCTTAAATAGAGGAGTATCTAATATTGGTATATCTTATAATGAGGTTTTGGCTGTACTACATATAATTTAAATTTTTCTCTTATTTTTTTAAATACCGCAACAAATAAAATTTAATTAATTTTTACAATTATTTTTTTATTTCTGCAGAAAATTAATTCGTTCAATCATTTTCTTTCAAAAAAAAATAAACATTTTCCAATCTATCCCTCTTCAAGTAAAAATATCATTATCGTCATTTATATATGTTCCCCTCCATTCTCGTATAAATAAATCTAACAAAAACGCCCACACGCTGTGAATGAATTAAAAAAACCTTTTTTTGTTGTGTTTAATTTATTGCGATTTTAACTAAAGCAAAGATTATTTTTTTGTTGTTACTTTTTCTGTTTAAAAATAATCAAAAAACAAAAATCATTTTATAATAGGGAAATGAAGCGATTTTTTAGACAAAAATAAGAAAAGGAGATCCAGCTAGCATTAAAAACGCTTATTAAGTGAGGGTCTAAGACCTATTAAAAACTAGTAAGAGTTAGTACCTCGATGGCTCAGTCGGTTGTGCGCCTGTTTGTGATGGGAGAGAGGTTGAAGGTTCGATGCCTGCGCTGGTTTTTTCCGTTTTTTAAATAAAAAAACCTTCCCTCCGTATTTCAATTTTAAATTTTTGTAACACGCCAAATATTTTTAATTTTTATAATGTTTGGCGTTATGTTTTTTAAATCAAATTTACTTTTTAATCTCTCCACTCTCCTCTTTCTTCATGCTATTTTCATTAAAACGAGAAGCTTTCAGACGTTTTTCGAGTTTTTTTTTGATAAAATTTTTTTGTTTTTTTTCTGAAGATTGTTTTTTTACAAAAAACACTCTAAAACGCAACACAAATTTTTGTTCCCTTAATTATCACACTTGCGCATTTTAAAATAGATTAATCATAATTTTATTCTTAATTCTCGTTTCGCGTTCTTTCAAAAAAATTAAAAAATGCCTCTTCACACCTTTTAATTATTTGTAATTAATTATAAAATTCATAACAGACAAATAAACTACACAAAATTTCTCCCAATTATTAATTTATTTTTTTTTATTTTTCCAATAAAAATTCACACCCACAAAAATGTTAACGACTTTCAACAACTCATTAAAGGAAGGCGCCGGTACTTCGAAAAGAGAGTCTGTCCGGGAACAGCCGGACAAACAAGAAGAAGAGGAGGAAGAAGTTATTGCCCTTCCTTTATGGCAGGATAGCGGTGGACAACCAATAAAACTGCCGATGGAGTCAATTCCTGAAGTTGAGGAAATTGAGGGCGGCAGTTTTGGTTTGTGTGTGTTTGTTTTTGACAAAAAATTGTTTGAAAAAAAAATAACAGAAATGTATTAAATATGTAATTTAATATATTTTTGGTTTTTAAATTATTTGGTCTATTTCGTCGGTAATTAAATGTGAAATTATATTTTTAGGTAAACCTCATTGTAAGATACACCCTAGGGATTGAAAAATCGTCTCTTATAATGAGGGGTATCTTAAATGGAGGTATCGCCTAGGCAGGTCCGTATACCCAATGGCCAACTAAAATCTAAGGAGTGTCTCTTAAGTAGAGGTAGTATATCTAGTAATGAGGGTATCTTGTAATGAGGGGTACCTTATAATGAGGGTTACCTTATAATGAGGGGTATCTTATAATGAGGGTATCTTATAATGAGGGGTATCTTATAATGAGGGTATCTTATAATGAGGGTATCTTGTAATGAGGGGTACCTTATAATAAGAGTATCTTATAATGAGGGGTATCTTATAATGAGGGTACCTTAAATAGAAGGTTCGCTTAGGAGCTTCCCCCACTCAGAGGCCACCCTCATTTTAAAGGGCGTCTCTTAAATAGAGGTGAATCTATTATTGCGGGGGTATATTAAATAGAGGTTGGACTTTATTTAAATTATTTTAAGGATCACCAAGTTCTTCATTTATGTCACAACCTATACAAAAAACAACAATTAATTTAACATCTCCCTCAAAGAATTTAGATGGACATGTACAAGAAACAAAACAAAAGAGGCTAGAAATTTATAGAACAGAGGAGATTGATACGCTTGTTAGGTGGGTTTTTGTTTTATTTAAAAAAAAATTTTAAAAAATCCAAAAAGTTAGTGCCTTAGGCATTAAAAATGTGCAAAATACAAAATTAATTTTAAAAGGTCATATTGAGAATGAAAAGGAAGGGAAAAAAATTTTTTTAATTGAATTAAACTTGGAAATAATAAAAGGTGGTTGGTTAATTCGCTTACTAAACCACCGAAAATTAATTTAAAATTGTCGAATATTTTAAGCAGGGTTTCCCAAAATATTTGCAGAAATAAAAAAGGTTAGATACTCCAAAAATAAGCCTCATTCTCTAATTAGGATTCGAACCTACCCCCATTTAATAATACTATAATTATGTCAAGCAACTTACCACTCAACCAACAGCTCCTTCAAGGCTCTCAAATTTCCAGTTTTTCGCGGATGGGGAACAACCAGAGAGTACTAAGCAGATTATTTATTTAGAACCCTATGTAAGAAAAGTTTTTTCCCAAACTAGATAAACTTGAAAATCCCTTCGTTTTCTCGACCAGCCGTCTGATACGTAAAACACCCCGTTAAAAATTTTTTAACGGGGGAGAGGTGTAAGAGAGGGGCAGCCTGTCTACTCGATCAATGCTTGCGGGGATTTGGACACAAATAACATTAACTACATATAAAAGAGAAATGGACAAGCAAATATGTATACTATTAGAGAAGGAAAAAATATTTATTCAGAGTTAGTTGAAAATGATGTGATGACATTTGCTGATGAATTTTTGTTGATGCTTTCCCTATTTTTGCTGTCCAAAAAGTCCCTTCCTCGTTCATATACCTACCTACACATTTTTCTCTCACCATCGACCAATGATACAAAAATATTTTTAATTCATCCTTTTATTTAAAATAAAAGTGTATTTCTTCTCTTAATTTCTCCAAAAATTTTTTCAAAAATAATTGACCATTTTGAGTCATTTCTTGAAAAGATAACGGACTTTCGCACTTGTTTGTGGACGTGACCGAATCACAAAAATCAGAAAAAAATTTTTGGTTTAATATTCAGCATTCCGGAATTAATTGAATTTATTTTACATGTCAGGGCAATCCAGGTACTTTTAGGCAGGTCTAGTCTTGCCTCAAGTAATGACTCAAATTGGTCAATTATTTTTGAAGAAATTAAAAGGAAGAAATGCAACTTATTTCCCCGATATATTTCCCGATATCCAAGACCCCCATAGGTTTCCAAAATTAATTGAAATTATTTTCAGTTTGAGGGAAATTCGTTCGCTTAAAATAATTGACCATTTTGTGCTTATCTAAAATAAATTTAATCTGCTTTAATAAATATGACAAAATACCCTCATTTGTTGCTTTATAGTTCGTAGGGATTGTTTCCAATTTCCGGTGGGTATTGTTGTGTGTTTGTGAACGGACACCTTTTTTTCTATTATTTTTAAGTTTAATCCAATTAAAAAATTTTTTTCCTTTTTCCTCTCTTTCATAGTGCATGTATGACCTTTAAAATTTATTTTATACTTTTATTGTGTTCATGTTTATTATTATTTTAAATTATTTTTCGACCAGTCACTCTTTTCTAAATAAATCGTGTTGAGCTAACTCGCGGAACGCCCAACTCACGGAAATGACCAAAACACGGAATAATTTAAAAATCGAAATTTTTTGAAAAATTTGAGTATTTTAAAAATAAGACTTTACAAATTAGAATGTTTTAAATTTCTAAGTGGTCATTCCGTGAGATGTTTGCTCCGTGATTTGGTGATTTCGTGACTTGTCTGTTCCGTGACCTGTCTGTTCCGTGAGTTGGAATTCCTCCTATTTTTATTTTTATTTTATGTACTTTTTCTCTTCCCCCATTTTTCTCCTCTTCATAATTATCCCCCAAAAACTTTTTTTGCTTCTTTCTTTGACTCGTTGAGTGGCTTTGCTTTTCTCCCCTCTTCAATTCATTTATTTTTCCCTCATTTTTAAAGGGTTTTCTTCCCTTTAAAAAATTATTTTTTTTATTTCTGTTATCGCTAAAAACAAGAAGGAAAAACGTTTTGGTTTTTTACAAATAATCTTTTTTTTCTGCTTACATTTACTTAATCATTTGCACATTTTTTAAAGGATTTTTGCTTTATTTTTTGTTAAAAAATTAAGTATTGATTAAATCGATAATTAAAAGAATTTATTAAATCAAGGATAGGGGACGAATTTTGAACAAGGCAGCTTCCTCTCCTAAATCTGACATTTTGAATAGAGTCGAGACATTTTGAGTAATTTTCTGGCATTCTGAATTAGGGTTGGATTTTTTGAACCGGGCCGACGTTCGAGTGATTTTGGGCTTCATTTTTATCGAACCGGGCACCGAGTCTTTTTCAGGCCTAAATTCGAGGCCTGATTCAATTTTTCGAGCCAAACCGGGCCCCCAGCCCTATTCTGAATAGACCCTAGTACGAGGATCGAGATCGGTATCAGAGGTGAATTGGAATTCCGAGTTCCCATTTCCAAGTTCCGACTTTTGAGTTTCCGATTTCCGACAGTTCCGATTTCCGGAACCTTCGTCATTTCCGATTTACCTGTGATCGGTATCTTGATAATAGAGATTTTTCTTCGAGAGGTATCGTCTCGTTCCGGGCTCTAATTTTGAATGACATTCTAAGAAAATTTTGGTTTTTTTTCTGATTCTTTATTGGTTTAAGCCCTGAAACCCACTTTTTTAAATTTATTTTTCCATCAAAGCAGGTCCTGAAAATGTCGAAATTTCCAACTTAAACTCTCTTTAAATTCTTTCTAAAAATATATTAATTACAATTTCTTCTACATAATTTTTATTTTTGTTTTCTTTCCATTTTCTAACGCTATAATTAATCTAATCAAAGCTTTGAGAGAACATAAATTGAGGTATTAATGAGAGGGAAAATCTGGATATATTTATTTATTTTATAGGAATTTGGGAAAATAAAGGAAAAGAAAATTTTTATTTGATTTTTTCACTTTTTGATTAAAGTCCGGCTTTGAGATTTATCGCGAATTTTTTTTTTCGATTTTTTAACCATCCAGACTTATACTATTTTTTGTTTATAAATTTATTTATTGTAAGTGCTCTAATTTAAAGCCCTGAGCTTCTATTTTCCAAAAGGTTGAGTGGGGTGGGCTTGTATCGGAGTGGGCCGTTGAGTGGGCTTGTATCGGGGATGTCACAGGTTGAGTAAAATGGCGGGTCGGGTTTCGAATCGGGTTTTTCAAATTTTCTTTGGGTTTTTGAAATTTTCTTCGGGTTAGGCTTCGGTAACTCGCTTGTATTAGAAATGGGCTTCTAATAGTGACTGGGCTTTAATTAGGGCATCTGCTATATTAAAAATTTTTTTAATTTTTTTTTTGAATTTTGAAAACTTTTTTAAATATTTTTAAGTATATTTTTCTTTAATTTTTTGTTTTTTCAATTTTATTATTTTTTAAAAGTTTATTTTGCATTTCATCATATTTTTATTCTTTTTATTTTTATTTATTTTTTTTCATGATAGAATTTTATTTATATTTCCTTTCTTCTCTGAAAAATATTTTTTATTTATTTTATTTTAAAAATAAATTTCCTCTGATTTTATTTCAAATTTTAATGATTTTATTTTTTAAATTGCCTATATCCCTCTTTTTTTTAATTAAATTTCATTTAGGGGCAATACACCGTCCGACCACTAGAGTAAAAATTGATATCCATTTTGCGATTTTAAAATTAAAATTTTAGGCGAAGGAATATAGTATTAACCAAGACCTTAACTTTGAAGTTAAGGTCTTGGTTAAAAATTTTAAGCCAATATAATTTTGAAAGAAATTGAAGCTATTATCTGTGTCAAAATGTATGGACGGTTTTTTGTCTGGACGGTGTTTTGTCCCCTCACTTTATTTAAATTGGCCTATTCTGTCATATTTTTCCCCAAATATTTTTCTAATAATACTAACCAATAAAAAACAAGAATTTCCAAAAAAAAATTTATTTTTTTTGACTAACCACACATCTGTGCAAATTATTTTTATTTCTTTGATTTTTTGATCAAAGAAAAACTGACACGGTCTTTCACAAAAAATTACTTATAAAAATAACTGTAAAAATGTTAAACCAATTTGTCACAATTTTTAAATGCTATAAATATAAATAATTTTTATTTTTTTTTCAGTACTTTGCCTAAAGAAAAAATTCCTCCAGAATGGGATAAATTGTCATCTGAAGAAATTGTTAATGATCCAAAGTAGATATTCTTTTTTAATAATATTGAGTCAGACCTCATTATAGGATACCCTCTCGGGGGTGAAAAATAGTCGCTTATAATGAGGTGTATCTTAAATAGAGGGTATGCTAAAATGAGAGTTGTTGATAAAATTTCTTGAAGTCAACTGAATGTTGTTAATTTATGGAGGGAACTAAACCAGAAAAATCAGATTCTGAAGTGAGAGGTGCCTTATAATGTAGTGTATCCTAAATAGACCTCTATTTAAGAGACTTTTTTTTTAATTTGGTTGTCTATAGGAGATACCTATGTAAGAGCACCGTCAGACAAAACCGTCAGACCTTAGAGAAAAGAACCTTAAAAGTTGGTTGTCTATAGGGAGCTTCCAAAGTGAACAATAGAGATCGTGATTTTTGAAAAGTTTGGACCTGTTCCTGGCTCTGGAGTTTGATTTCTTGACCTGGACTGGATCCTGGCCTGTAGTACAGGAAAAACCCAGGCCTGGGAAAAACCCAGGAAGGTCAAAAAATGCCTGGACCTGGACTCTGGGTACAGGAAAAACTCAGGCCTTGGTCCAGGTCCAGCTCGATCTCTAGTGAATACCCTCTATATAAGAGACCCTCTGTATACCTTAAAGGTGTATTTTTAAAATGAGATCTTGACTTCTCATTTAAATAAAAAAATTTTATTTTTTTGAAAGAATGGCCCATACCTACATAACAGAAATACCTGGTGGACTTCCTCCAACAGCTAGAGGAAATAAATATTCATATATTTATGAATCTAAATTAGAAGGTGATAACAACGAAATACAAGAAGAAAAACAACAAAATAATTTGTTAAATAATTTAAAAATAAATAATGGAATAATAATAGAAAATGGAAAAACTGAACAAGAAGAGAAACAATTGGGAGAAGAAATTTGTACAGATGAAGATGGAATTGAAAGGAGATGTAAATCTACACAGAAGGTTAATTGTTTTGATTGATTAGTTTTTTTGAAACTGCTAAAGGACATTTAGGTAATTTCTACGTACTTTTTACGGATTTTTCTTGCGGACTTTTTGGATTTGCGGACATTTTTTTGCGGATAATTATTGCGAACTTTTTTGAGGGTTTGCCACTTCTTGCGGATTTCTTGGAGTTCTTTAGTTTTTGCCAATATTTTTTTTCGGACATAACTTGCGGATTTTCACTCATTTTTGAGACTTACGGGAACTTTTTTGGTATTTTTTCTTTCAGTTATTTTTTCGGACGTTTTCTGCGATTAATTTACTGTCTTTTTTTTTTGCGGTTTTTTTGCGGTCTTTTTTCTTGTGGACGTTTTATGAACTTTTTTGCGCATAATTATTGCAAACATTTCTTGCGGACTTTTCTTGCATATATTTTTGCAGACTTTTAATGACTTTTTTGAGAACATGAATAAAGCACATTTTTTGCCGTTATTCTTTCAAACATTTTTTGAGTGTTTTTCTTGCGGATATTTTCTTTTTGTTTGGAAAATATGCTCGGCGGAAAGCACTCTCTTCTTAAATATATTCCTATTTTCTATAAAATTTATTTTTTTAGATAACAAGAATAACAAAAATAACAACAACACGTTCAGTAAAACAATTTCCAGTTGAGCCAGGAGATTTGTATTTTGATGCCGATGGAAATCCAATACTTAATGGTTTTGATGGTAAATATTTTTGCGGACAATTTTTTTGCGGACAATTTTTGTGGATTTTTATCTCTAATTTTTAAGAAGCAATTTCTTCACCATCCCCAGCAGGAGGAGGAAGAGCCTCAGATTTTAGTAGATGCTCCCCTTCTGAAGATGATTTTCTGCCTTCTAGTTCTGCTGGAACAATTATTGCGGATGATCATTCTATTGGCATTGATTTAATAAATACTACCAAGAGGTCTTGTGAAAGAGAAGTATCACCTAAAGGTTTGGACGAAATTGATGGGAAAACGAAAAGAGGTTAATTAAAAAAGTTTTTTTGTATGGACTAACTGTTTTTTTGCGGACTTTTTCGGGGTTTTTGCGGATTTTTTTATATTTGCGGATTTTTCAAATAATTTTTTAATTTTTTTTGCGGATTTATTGGGTACTTTTTTTAATGGATTAACGGTTCTTTGCGGACTTTTTCGGGGATTTTTTTTTGCGGATTTTGATTTTTTGCGGACAGGCTTTCACGGATTTTTCGCTGACTTCTTTAAAGAATTTTTTGCGGACTTTTCTTGCGGACTTTTCAAATTTTAGATTTAAAAGAAATATTTCTAAAATGCCAGTTAGTCTAAATAATCGCCTAACCAAATAATTATTCTTAAATCCCACCAATTTTTAGAAACTCCAAGTGCTCCCGGCATTCCACAAATAACAGAATGTTTTGAAGAAATAATTGAAGGAGAGGGAGATATTGGTATTTCTTTTATTTTTAAAAAATTTCAAAAAAAAATTTTTTTCTAAAAGTTCCTTTAACAATCTCTTTGTGTTGGTCTTCCCCCGAATTTGAAGGAACTGCTGGCCAATTAATTGGTTATAGAGTGGAATTTAGACGTTCAGAATTGGAAGAATGGGAACCGGCACATGATGATTTGTTGGGAGAAAATGAATGTAAAAGTTGGTTTTCTATTTTTTATTTAAAAAATTTTACAATTGAACCTCACTATAAGATACCCCCAATATAAAATACACCTCTATTTAATAGACGCTTTTGAAAAATTTTGGATGGCAATGCCCTACCAAGTTTGGTAGGGCATTGTGTGTAACTGTTAAGCGATATCCTCTATTTAGGAGACACCTTACTTTAAGAGACACCTCATTATAAGATACACAAGATCTTTCAATATAGGATACACCTCTATTTAACAGACATTTTTTAATTTTGGTAGGCTACTACTCGGTAGGGGAGTTAAAGCGATATCCTCTATTTAAGATACACCTCATTATAAGGTACAAATTTTTGATTCACAAGGGCTTATCTTATAGTGAGAGGTTCGCTGGTAATTTTAATTATATTTTGAACAACTCTCTTCTCTGTTTTTAAAATATTTGGGAAAATATTTTTGTTGTTTTTTTTAATATTTTTATTTTTGATGAATGATCACTTTTTTTCTCTTTATTTTTCCTATTCAATTCTCTTTAATTTTATTGCTCATCCAAAAAATATTTTTTGGTGAGCTGGCAATTTTTGTATTTTTAAGAGAATTTTTTAAAAAATACTTTAAATTAGTTTAACTGGACAGGTACTTCATTCCAATTTTTGTCCTCTTTTTTTTTCGCTTTTTCCCTCTTATTTTACAATTTTGGTCGGCTACTGAGTGGGGAACCCTCTATTTAAGATACAACTCATTATAAGAGACTAAATTTTGTTTCAGCCCCAATGGTGTTCAGTCCTCAATTTTAAACGAAGATAGTTATTCTGTTCTTATTGTTAGCGTTTCGCCTTTTCGTCTTTCATAATTTCGTTGTTTTTCGCCCTTCGTGTTTTTTTAAATTATTTCGGGGTTTTTCAATTTTTTTGAATTAAAAAAAAATATTTTTTAAAATCGTCTCCCTCTATTTTACAATTTTTAAAATATTTAATTTAATAAAAAAAATTTTTTTTTATTTTTCTTCTCCCGATGGAAAAGCTCTTTTCTTGCTCGCGCAAAAAGCATTTACTACTATTTATTCACTCACAAAAATTCAAAAAAATAAAATTTGTTCACAATTATTGTGTCCAACTATTTATTTATTTTATTCCCTCGTTTAAATCTTCACACATTTTTATTTCGCTTTTTAACTAACAAAAAAATTGGATTGGAAGGATTTTTTATTTGCGAATTATTTGTGACTGACCCTCTTCAAAAAATAAATAAAAAAATATTTTTAATAGAAATATTAAAAATAAATTTTTTCAAATTCATTTGCGCAGTTTTTTCTCTCCCTCATTTTATTAAAGTGTTCCCCCCTTTCTGTCCTTTTCTTATTTCTTTGATTGACTAAATAATATTAGCTAAAAATATATTTTTGTAATTCCCTTATTTATTTTTCTTGATCAAAAACCAGACTTGGTAATATGGACACGAATTTCGGTATCCGTATTCGGATATTTACGGCGGATACAGACGGATATCCGCAGACACTCTGAACTTATTTGTATCCATATCCATTACCAAGCTTGTCAAAAAAACTATTCTCATTTATTATTTAAGTCAAATTTCTCTAATACACCTTTATTTAATAGACTTCCTTTCTATGATATACAACAATGCGCATTTTAAAAAGCGAAAGGCGAAAACAGTAGGGTCAAAAAAGTGCCATTTGCAAGGCAGAAGCATAAGGCAGACAGCCCATCCCTATACACCCTCATGTCAGTCTAGGAACACGTTTTTAAGATTTGTTTGACCCTACTGGGTGAGGGGGAGGCTGTCTAAGCGCGACATCCCTTAGTTAAGACAACCCATTATAAGCCCCTTTTATAAGACCCTCAATACTCGATTTTTTTTTCAGACTCGGAGCGGTATCATATAAGTGGATCTTAAACATTTATTTTTTAAACGAGAATTAATATTAAAAAGTTTAAAAAATACAAAAGAAAAATATATTTATACAATATTTGCCGGTTTTTTATATAAAAAATATTGATTCTTGTACAAATATTAGGGGATTTTTTTGTTATTGTTTGTTATGCCGTAAACCGAGAAAAAAAAAGTTGGTGTTTTACTGAATACTAACAGACAAACAAAATTAAACAATATAATTTTTTTTGAAGAAGAAACATTCATTTTAAAAAATAAAAATATTTTTTAAGATGATTTTTCTAAAGTAAAGTAAAAAAAAACATTTTTTTAGTAGTGGTTGTCTATTTCCTCCGTGTCCGGAAATTTGGGGAGTGGACACTTGGGGAGTGGACATTTGGGGAGTGGATAAATGGGGAGTGAGCGGACACTTGGGGAGTGGACATTTGGGGAGTAGCCTAACGATAAAAATACAATAGAATATTAAATAGTTTTTCTTGCTTTTGTATTTAAAAAAATAAATTAGGAAGCTCTCGAATGAGCTATTATATGCTTTTTCGAATTTTTGACCCTAAAATCCCACCAATGGTATTTGACCATTTCAAACCCCAATATATATAGAAAATAATTAAATTTAAAAAATAATTAAAACTTTTCGACTCAGCTCGAGGAGCTCTTTCGAATGAGCTATTACTTGCATATTCGAATTCTTCACCCCAAAATCGAGCTTACTCCCCCACCCTATGGTTTTTCAACATTTAGGAACTACAACTCGGTCCAGAATCATTTATGAAATTGGGAGTAGTACCGTTCGACTCAGCTCGCCGAGATAAATCGAATGACATATGTCACGCCCCAAACTTTTACCTCCGGTGAACTATCCTATATCCATTTTTTAAATACAAAAGCAAGAAAAACTATTTAATATTCTATTGTATTTTTATCGTTAGGCTACTCCCCAAATGTCCACTCCCCAATTGTCCGCTTACTCCCCATTTATCTACTCCCCAAATGTCCAATCCCCAAGTGTCCACTCCCCAAATCTCCGGGAGCCATTTCCTCCTTTGGTCTTCCTTTCTTTCAATTTTTCCACTAATTATGGAGGGGCCCCTGAGTAACAAAACTTTTGCCGAAACAAATTAAAAACGAAATGCGAAACACGAAATTAAGTTTAAGAAAGTGAAAGACGAAACGCAAAACTTAATACACCTCTAATTTGGAGGGTCTACCGAAAATAGTGACTGGTATCTCGAAAATATGGATTCTTGATAACCGAGATTTTTGTTCGTGATTTCGTCCCGAGCCGATTTCTATTTAAAATCACTACTCAAAAATATTTCCTTTAATATTTTTAAAATTTTCTACATATTCTCTTTTATTTATTAAGATTTATAAAATTACAAAATTTAAATAAAACAACAAATAAAATTTATTCGTTAAAATGATGAGATTTGAAGAATTTAAATATTCTTTAGAATCATTTGATTATTACGGGAATAATAATAATACCAAACAATTTTTTAAAGAAAGAAAAAGTTTTGAGACTTTGAGTTGTTTAAATTATTGTTGTAAGGGAAGATTGAAATTTTAATTTTTTTATTTTTTTTAAGTTACCAATTTGGACCCAGAAGATCATTACCAATTTCGAGTTGTTGGGGCTAATATGGCTGGATTTGGAATTCCGTCAGAGGCATGTCCAGCAATTCGTTTACGGCCAGAAAGTACTCAATTTGGAACTGAAGGTAGAAAGGGAATAAATTTTTTTATTTTAGTAAGATTTCGTTATAAGATACCCTTCGGGACTTGTGGATATTCTATACTGAATGTGAGAGGTATGTTAAATAGGAGGTATTGCTTAAGGGATCCCTCAACCCTTCATATTACTTCCTTTTAGTCTTTTTCGGTTCCCTTTAGATTTCCTCATTTGTTTCTTTCAGACTACCCCCACGTTCCCTTCAGACTACCCCCACGTTCCCTTCAGACTACCCCCACGTTCCCTTCAGACTACCCCCACGTTCCCTTCAGACTACCCCCACGTTCCCTTCAGACTACCCCCACGTTCCCTTTAGACTACTCTCACGTTCCCTTCAAACTACCCCCACGTTCCCTTCAGACTACCCCCACGTTCCCTTCAGACTACCCCCACGTTCCCTTCAGACTACCCCCACGTTCCCTTTAGACTACTCTCACGTTCCCTTCAGACTCCCCAATGTTCCCTTCACACTATTTCCTATGCGTACCTAATATAAAGTATATTTTTAGAATGAGAGGAAAAATAATCAGATTAAATATTCATATAATTTAAACAGCTCAATATCCACCTCCACCACCTAGTCAACCTCAAATAATAAATATAGGAACAGACAATGCAACAATTGAATGGAAGAATTTGACAGAGGGAAATTATAAATATTTGGTAAATAAATTTTAAATGTGGACAAAAACATTTGCGGATTGTCTGTTAAATATTTTTTTTAATTTGATAAATAATATTAATTTTTTAAAATTATAGGTACAATATAGAGAAATAAATACACTAAATTGGATTAATGCTATTAACTCACCTACTAAAGAAAATAAATTTAAAGGTTTTTAATTAAATTAGGGAGAATTTTAATTTTTTTTAAAGTTGCCAATTTACGTCCAAACGGAGAATATGAATTTCGAATAATTTGTTTAGACGAAAATGGCAAAAATTCAACTAGTCCTTCATCAGGTTTTATTCGTATTCGTCCCCCTGCTCCAATTCGAAATGGAAAAATTTCTTCACAAAATTTTAAATCGAAAGATTTGGCGGCGCCTGAAGCGCCTGGAAAACCAAAGGTTTTTTAAGTTGATATTTTTTGATTAAATAATATAAGGTTATATAGTAAGTAGGAGATATTGCGGGTTACCATCCATAGAAAATTTTGAAACCCAGACCGGGCCCGTCTTTTTTCTTAACCCGGCCCATTCCTGGCCTGAACTCTAACAAGGAAACATCTTGAACTGAACTAAAAAATTTGTATTTTTTCTTGCACCATCGTGTAGAGCAGGGTCTAGTTTCATTAATTCTGGGTTGAATCCAGAGCCTGGTGTGTCCATTAAAAGACTAGGAAGTCTAAAAATGACTGGGATCTGCGTATAGAAAAGGTCTGATTGTAAGTCAGTTTCACTGACCTAGGTTGGTTCATGAAACAGTAATCCATGAATGACCTATTTAGGAAAATAAAAATTTAGGGAAAAATGATCAAAAATATAACGTCTCTCATTCATAGCTATTTAAATAAAATAAATTTAAAGGTATTAGAATCTGGCTCAAATTGGATTCATTTACATTGGGATACTCCAATCCCTTCTACTTCTTATGATATTTCTTCTTTTTCTTCACCTTTTGATTCAAATTTGGCATATTTAATAGAAATACGTGAATTTGGTGTTGGTAATTCTGGTTGGAAACAATTATTTGATAGAACAACAGGACAGGGAATGTTAAATTACACGACTATTAATGACCATTTTGTTGGTAGGTTTTTTTTAATAAATTGAATAGAAAAAATACAGTCAAGCCTCATTATAAGAAAAATGTCTCTTATAATGAGGTGTAAAAAATATATTAAATAGAAGGTAGCGTTTTGGGCAACTTCTCCCACACATTGTTGGACCAAAATTTTAAGAGCGTTTTTTAAATAGATGTGTGTATCCAGCATTAGGGAAAAAACCCTCTTTTCTCCCAAATCTTATATGAGATTCGACAAGTCGGATCTCGAATGTACGGACACCTCCAGATTCAGGTGAACTCTCTATTCACGTAAAAAAATTTTTTAAAAGTTCCATTGGTGTGAGGGAACTGCCTAAGCGATACCTCCAATTACTCCTCTGTTTTCAACACTTTTTCGTCCTTAAGGGTGAAATTACTAGAGATCGGTCTGGATCTGGATCCAGTCTAGACTTTTGGATCCAGTCTAGGATCTGGATCCAGTCTAGATTCCTTGGAAATACCGATCCCTAGCAAGGGCGTATCCAGGGGGTCGGTTTCGGGGGGGGGGGGGTAACACTGGGTGGGCGCAAAAATTTTTGGCGTTTACCTTGACACAAATTTTTTACCTTGACACAAATTACCGGACACAAATTTTTTTGTACATAAATTTTCATCTTTTCTGCGTTGCAGGCGCAAATTTTAAGGATTGTGGAGCTCAAGAAGCCAGATTTCTTCCATTTTTTGCGCCGCAGGCGAAAATTTTTAAAATTTAGAAGGCCGTAGGCCAAAAAAATTCACTTTTTTTGCCCCAACCCTTCCTCAAATTTTTTCCTTTTCCCCATTTCGGGGGGGGGGGGGGGCTCTAGCCCCCCCAGCCCCCCTGGATACGCCCTTGATCCCTAGTAATTACACAATTGAGATTTGACTGTATAAAATTTTTACAAATTCAAACTATTTCATTCTTTTTATCTATTTTAATTAATTAATTATTTGTCTTGCGCGAACTAATGGATATTCATTTATGTTAATGTATTTTGGGAGATAAGAGAAAAAGAAAGAAAAACTAAAAATCTAAATTTAGTAGCATAGAGAGAAAAACCTTGAGAGAAATTTTAACATTGAAACATTTAATATATAATTCTCTTGATTTATCTTTTTACATTCTCAATAGTGTTTACTACATCGCGCAAAACCCCCCTTTTCCCCCTTTTCTCGTTAAAGAATTTTAGAAAATCTCGCATAAATAGAAAATTGTTGTTTTGATTAAAATACATTAAAAACATAATATTTACGATCAACAAATTTATAAAATAATTTAGAGAGAACTTTATTTTCTGTTTTTTTAATTAAAAATTGTCTTGTTACCCGTGACATAATAATAGGGTTAACTGACCAGATTTTTGTTCAAGTTACTATAGGGCCATGATTTACATTGGTTTGCACCAGAAGTGAATTGGAACTGACGAAGGTGCCGGAAATCGGAACTGTCGGAAATGGGAATTCCGATTCACCTCTGTTTCCAGAAAATTAGGGTCGTGATAAATGTAAAAAAATCGTTTGGAAAATAAAATATCCAGAAAATTTTTGTTTCTTAAATATCTGTAGAAGTTTTCCTAGGATTCTTTAACTCCTCTTTTTTTTAATTATTAATTTTTACAAAAATATGTATTTATATATTTTATATTGCTCTTTTATTTTTTATCATTTCCAGTTCCTGTTTTTCTTTCTTTTTTTTTACCCTATCACTGTAAATTTATATAAGTAAATATTTATTTTTTTTATTTTTTCTCCTAATTCTTTCATCTTTTTTTTTCAATCAAAATTTTACTTCAAAAAATTGATAACAATTTTTAATAATAATTTAAATTTTCTGCCAAATTTTAAATTAAAAAAAATTTTTTTCCCCATTTTCAGTGGATAATTTATCATCAGAATTTAAATATGAATTTAGAATTTGGACTATTTCTTTAAATAATGGATTACATTCTTCTTTGCCTTCACCAATTTCTGAACCTATTAATTTGTTAAATCAGACAAGTGATTGGCAGCCAAAATTGCCTTCTTTAACTAGTCAAACTTTGAATAACAAAAAAGTGCCTGAAAGACCTTCAGCGCCTGAATATCTTGGTAAAAAAAGAAATTTTTTAAATCTAGTCAACTCTCATTATAAGAGACTCCTTTGAGGCCGAAAATATTGTATCTTATAATGAGATGTCTCTTAAGTTGTGTGGTCCACTCGTTAATAACCAAAATTTTAAAAGCGTCTCTTAGATTATACCGAGGTTCATCTGTATAAGACACAGTCAGTAATAATTGCCTCTATTTAAGAGATGTTTTTTTAAATTTGGTTAGCTATTGATGATTGAGGGCTATTTGAAGAAATACCTTTTATTTAAATACACCTTATTTAAGATACACATACCTCTCATTTTGACTTACCTTTAATTTCAGATACCCCCAATACCACATATTTTCACCTCTAGATTAGCCGTTGTGCATTGAAGCTGTTTAAGCTGCCCCCCTCCAATTTAATAAACACTTATTATAAGAGACAACTTGTCAGTCCCAAGGGAGTCTCTTATATGTAGGTCAACTATAATTTATCATAAATAATTTTTTTATTTTTTATAGAATTTTTCCCAACAAGTTTAACACTTTGTTGGCAACCAGCAAAAAGTTCACTTCCCGTTCAAGGTTACGAAATTGAATTTCGTGATCCAATGCAAGATGCATCCAATTGGTATCGCTTAACAACAGATTCATTAATTAAAACATGCAAAACAAGTATTGGATCACTTTTATGTGGACATCAATATCAATTTCGAATTTTGGCAAGAAATTCTGTTGGCCTTTCACAACCTTCAGATCCTTCTCCTCTTGTTACTATTGGAGGAGTAGGGAATCAGGGAGGATCGAAGGAAACAACTAAAAATAATTTAATACCTTTAATGGAAGAAATGTTCGTTAGAGAATCACCTCCATTGCCTGATAGAGATGGTAGAAATAAAGAAAAAAAATTTTGTTGAAGGATAAAAACAGTTGGACCTTGTTATGAGATAGATCCTTGGGGTTGTAATCAGGTGTCGGTCGAAATTCCGACTTCCGATTTCCGAAAATTTAGGCTGATTTCCGATTTCCGACACTTTCGTCATTTCCGACCGACCCCTGGTTGAAATATAGTACCTTATAATGAAGCCTGTCTTAAATATAGGGCGGCTATTGCTTAGGCAGAGATTCCCTCATTCAGTGACTACCAAAATTTTGATGAGCATCTATTCTATAGAGGTGTCCCTAGTAGAGATCGGACTGAGACGAGATCTCGATCAAATTTCTTGGTATCGAGGTAGAGATTTTTTTCTAGATCCCGATTCTCGCACGACACTTCAAGTCCTGTCTCTAGTATCAAGTACAGGGGGTATCTTATAATGAGAGTGTCTTTATAATGAGGTGTATATTAACTAGAGGGTACCGATTTTTGTCAGTTTTCCCTATTCTTAATGGCCAACCAACTTTTAAAAAGCCTGGGGGTGCCTAGCACAGAGGATTGTTTATAATGAGATTCGGCTTTATTTTAAAAAATTTTGGGGGAAAAATGTGAAAATTTATTTAAAAGATTTTCATTTTTTTTCAAAGATTCTCCTCCACCAATATATCGCCAATCAGAATCTTCATTACAATGGAGAGATCCAACATTAAAAGAAGTTATCGATTATTTAAAAAGTCCAGATCCAAATTTAGTGTTGGATGCTTCTGGTTATTTACAACATTTAACATTTAATAATGATTTAATTAAAGAAGAAACTAGAAATTATGGTAAATTAGAGAAATAAATGGTTGAAAATTTTTTATAATTTTTTTTAAAGAAATTAAAAAAATTTTCCGAATTTTTGAAATTTTTTTTTGAAAAATTTTTTTTTAATTTAAAGGAGGCATTGAATGTTTAATTAATTTATTAAATTCTTCAAATCAAGAAATTTTACGTAATGTTTGTGGTTGTCTAAAAAATTTAGCTTTTGGCAAATTGAATGATGCAAATAAAAGATTAATTTATCAAAAGAATGGGTTAAAGGTAGAAAAGAATTATTTTTTGAGGAATTTTTGCGTAGGAATCATAACCTTAAGGCACTCCCATGATGGGAGAGTATAAGTTGTTAGTTGTCTAAGCGATTACTCTCTCATTTAGGTGAAAGATTATTAGAGACAATTTTCAACCCTATGTGGGTATCTTATGGAGATCGAGATTTCTGAAAAGCCTGGGCCTGTTCCTGGGTTTGATTTATCGACCTGGGCCTGTAGTCCAGGAAAAACCCAGGCCCAGGAAAACCCCAGGAAGGTAAAAAATGCCTGGGCCTGGATTCTGGGCACAGGAAAAACCAGGCCTTGGTCCAGGTCCAGCTCTCTAGTATTATAATGAAAATTTGTATTTCCTCTTAAAATATTTTCTTTAAAAAATTTTTTTTTAAATTTTTTTTCAGTCACTTGCTCAACTATTAAAAACTTGTCAAAATTCACTTGTTCATGAAGAAGCTACAGGTGCTTTATGGAATATATCTTCGGCAGATGAATTAAAAGAACCTATATTAAATCAAACAGCCGAAGCTGTTATTAGACATGCTGTGTAAAATTTTTTTAAATTTCAAAAATTTTTTTGAAATTTCTGAAAATTTTTCAAAAAAAATTTTCAAAAAATTTTTTTAAATTTTTTTGAAAATTTCCGAAATTTTACAAAAATTTTGATTTTTTTTTTAAATTTTTTTCGAGAATTTCTGAAAATTTTTGAAAGATTTTTAATTAAAAAAATTTTTTTTTGAAAATTAAAAAGAAATTTTTTAAAGGCTTCCTTCTTGGGAAATACTATCCAACCAACAACAACAGCAACCTACTAGTTCTTCTATTCAAATTAATCGTAATCCTGTAGCTATTGTTTTTAGAAATGGAACTGGAATTTTGAGAAATATTTCTGCTGTTAATGATCGAGTAATTAATTATTTAATTTTTAAAATAAACCCATATAAGAAAAAAAATTTTTTGGCGTTTTTCGTTTATTCTTGTAAATTTTTTTAAGCTGACTAGGGTTGCACGCTGTTCCGGGTTTTATATATTGCAGCTGCGTATTTTAAAATTAAAATGGTGACTGCGGAAATTTTTTTTTCATTTTGCTGCCCATCCCTGATTTAAGCGACATTATCGGATATATTTTTGGGAGGGATTTCAATTATAAAAAATTTTTTAATCTTTATAGTCTCGCCGTTTTCTTCGTTCAACACCCGGATTAGTCGAAACACTTTTAAATTTTTTACATTTTGCAACCTTAAAAAATCAATTAGATACTCGAAGTTGTGAAAATGTTATTTGTTTATTAAGAAATTTAAGTTATAGAATACAGGAAGTTGTTGATAGTAAATACGACCCAAATAAAATTAAATATTCAATGATGAAAGAAAAGGAGAATGTAATTAATGGAGGACAATTATCTCCTCGTTCTAATGGTAAAATTAATTATAATTTTTGGAGAAGTTCGGCTGAGTCACGGCTCTATAACTCAAGAAGGGGTGGATAGTTTTTAACGTTCTTGGTACCAATGGATAGAGAATTGAATGGACTTTAAGATACTAGAGAATCGAAATTGGCCGACTGATTGATAAAAAAGCTATGATCGAAAATCTAAATTTTTTAAGAAAATGGGATTTTTCCAAACTTTTATAGATCATACAACTCTTTTATCGATCAGTTAGGAATTTTGATTTTTTGGTATTCTGTTGTCTATTTAATTCTCTATTTAATTCTCTATGTTTTTCCTGGTATCTCCAGGATTTTTGAAAATGGCCATTGGAGAGCGGTCTGAATCCAGATTCAGTCTAGATTTTTCCTGGATCCAGAGTCCAGATCCAGGCATTTTTTGATCGTCCTGGATTTTTTCTGGATAATGATCCAGGATTTTTGGAAATACCGATCTTTAATGATCATCCATTTATGAATTATATAAGGGTTGGGATTCAGCTGAACCTGAAACTCTGTGGAGGTGTACCCTTAATTTTAATAACAATATTATTTCAATATATTTTTAAGAAAGAAGTAAATCAGCACCTTCTGGAAGTCCAAAATTAGATATTACACCAAACAAGAAAGGAGGAAAATTTTTTAGTAGAAGAAGAAAAAAATCAGAAATTGAGCTTTCTAACAGTAACAATAATAATGAAAATGTTGCAACATCAATATCAGTATGGGGAAAAAAATTTTTTTTTCAAATTTAGAAAAATTTTTAAAGGGTCCACAATTACTTTGGAATCCTTCAACAATTCGTTTATATTTAAAAATTTTGGAAGAATCTGCCAATTGTGAAATTTTAGAAGCTTCAGCTGCAGCAATACAAAATTTGGCTGGTTGCCCTTTTTATGGGTCTTTATTAGTTCGAGAAACTGTTAGGATAGAAAAGGGTTTACCTATACTTGTTGAATTACTTCGTCTGAGAGAAGATAGGGTAGTTTGTGCTGTTTGCTGTGCTTTGAGGAATTTGGCTTTGGATAAAGTAATTAAAACCACTATGCAGTCAAACTTCATTATAAACCCTTAGGGCTTTAATTGTCTCTTATAATGAGGTGGATTTTAAATAGAGAGTCTCTTATAATGAGAGGGTTTTTAAATAGAGTCTCTTATAATGAGGGGTATTTTAAATAGAGAGTCTCTTATAATGGGAGTGATCTTACTTAGAGGTATCACAGTAAATGTTCAGTTGACTCCACACTTGTTCCCTCTAGATTAATAACATGTCTCTTATAATGATAGGTATCTTAAATAGAGAGGTACGTTGAAAGAAGAGCGAGCAATTAAAAATCTCTTGACTTATTTGTTAGGGGGAGTGAATAAATTGTGAAAAAATCGTATTTTAAAATGAGAGGTTTCTTATAACGGGGGTTATTTTAAATAGAGGTTTATTTTGAATAAGGGGCTTAGGTAGCTCCAAACCGTGCTTGGAAATTTCAAATTTGCTCGTACTCGTACCTCGTACCACCTACATTTTTGACCTCGTACTTCGTACCAAGTACGAGTGAGTAGGAATTTTGGTACGAGCGTCCAAGCACTACTCCTCTTCTACCCAGTAGCAGACCAAATTTAAGAATCCTCTCTTAAATAGAGGTGTTTTTCTTATAATTAAGTGGTATCTTATAATGAAGTTTGACTGTTGTTGAAAATTAAATTAAAAAATAAAAATAATTTTTCACTTTTTTGTAGCGCAATTTAGAATTAATTGGAAAATTTGCCTTGTCTGATATTTTAATAAAAATTCCAACTTATCAAGAATTAGAATTAATTAAAGAACAACTACAAAAACAACAACAACAACAAATCCCTTCAGATTCAACATTAAATGCAATTTTAGGAATTCTTTGGGAAATTGTTAGATTAAATAGTGAAATGGCTAAATTAGTACATTCAACTATTGAGGTGTGTGTATAACGCTTTTTGTTTTTTTTCAAAATTTTGAAAATTTTTGTTGGCAAGAAAAAATTAGGCCTATTAGCATCGATTAGCCATCGCACGGCTCTATAAACTATGCTTTGAAAAATTTTCAAAGCAAAGACACATTAAGATGTGGTTCTAGTAAGATATCTGGCATTCAAAAATCTTGGGATAAAGTTTCGGATTAAGAAAGATACTCGAAATTTTTCGAAAAAATCCGAAATTTCGAAAAATTCGAAATTTCGAATCGATATTTTGAAAAATCCGAAATTTTCCGAAATTTTTTTTTAAATTAACCATTCTATGAGTGATGGTTCTTGTTGAGAAAAAATAAGAAATTTCGGTTTAGGTTCCAAAATTTTTTTGAATCCGGTTTCGGATCGAAAAATGCCTGAGGGTACCTCATCATAATTGTAAGGTTTCCCAAACCTTCTATTTTAAATCCTGATCTTCTTTTTAAATTTAAATATTTTTTAAAGGGAACTGAACGGCTACGAGCATTAGCTAAATCATATCCCATATATGGACGTAAAACGTGTAAATATGCAACTCAGGTTTTTTCGACCAAAAAAATCTTCCTTATTTAAAATTTCAAAAAAAAAGGTTTTATATATGATGTGGCAACACAAAGAATTACACGAATTATTTAAAGAATCTGGTTTGGAAGAATCTGATTTTTATAGTGGAACAACTACTTCAAGTTTAAATAAATCGAGATCAACAAGTAAAGAAATTATTTCTTCTAAACAACAACAACAACATTATTCACCTTCTTCTTTAACTACTACTTTAGCTAGACCATTCTCTTCTCAAGTAGAAAATTTTTTAAAAAAATTTTTAAAAATTTTCGGGTCGTTTCGGCGCGAGAACGTTTTGGCGTGCACCTTAAAAAATGCATTTGGCCTAAACCAAATTTTTCGAAATTTTTACCAAATTTCTGTTTACGTCTTAGCCTAACACCTTCAGAAATTTCAGAATTTTGCTTCAAATATTTTCAAAGTTATGATCGATTAACTTCGTAAAACTTGTGAATTCTTGGTAAATTGGCACGTTTTTAGGCATAATTCACTAATTATATGTCCAAAAATTTTGAAATTTTTGGAGAGGGTAGATAGACATATGAGGATTATTTTATAAAAAATTTTTATTTTTTAGCTAATATTTTGACTATTTTATAAGCCTGAGAGTACTAGCGACTCCTCGCGCCTTACTGAAACCTTGCGCCTTAACGGCCCACCTCCTAGAAAAATTAATTTTTAATTAAATTTTTTTAATTTAAAGGGAATGGAGCGACCTACAAATTTATTATTAACACAACAAACAAACAACAATAATTATGAAACTCTCAATAATACTCCAACGTCTAAATCGGTAATAAAAAAAATTTTAAATTTGTACAGTGTATACTCCATGACATCACTATAAGATACTTTCAAACTAGATACCCTCCTATGCTTTTCTAAAATTTTTGATAGTCATTTGGTGGGAGGACTCTATTTTTTGAAACATCTTATGACGCTCTTTACGCTCTTTAAGATTTTGTTGCTTCTTGGATGGGGTAGTTGCCTAAGTGATATCCTCTATTTAAAGCACACCCCACTACAAGATACCATTTTTTAACTCCAAGAATGTGCCAATAAGTTAGGTTCAACAAGTAATTAACAATCAGGAAAAGAACAATTTTTACTTAACAACATTATATATTTACTCAACAGCATTATATACACATATATATCACAAATTTCTTTTTATATATATCCTTTTGAATCTACAATTTATTTAGGGTTCTCAAGTTCATTCAACGTCTCATAGTTATCTCCTCCTTGATCTTCAGCAGCAGGCGGCGGCGGCGGCGCACTCGACTTCTTTTCCTCCTCCCCTCCCTTTTCCTTTTTGTCATCCGCCGCCGCCGGTGGTTTGTCTGTTGCAGCAGCAGGCGCTTCCTTCTTATCCGCCGGGACAGGAGGCGTTTGGGTTTTGACCATAGCCGTTTTTTCAGGTTGTTTGTCTCCATCCTTCCCCGCTGCTTCGGTTTTGTCAGCCTGTTAAAAAATTTGGAATTATTTTTTAAGGAATTAAAGGTCTGAAAAGCACCTTAGGATCCTTTTTGTCCTTAGAATCATCCTTTTTATCAGCTCCTTCCTTCGTTTTCTCGACCGCTGTTTTGTCTTTAGCCTCAGGCGTCTTGCCACCACCCTTTTTCTTTTGCTCTTTTAGGAAGATATTTGCATCCAGATTGCCCAATGTTTGATAGTCCTTGACAGCGGCAACGCCTTCCTTTCTTGGTTTTTCTTCTTGAATCCTTGGAGGAGCTTGAAAAAAAATTTTTTAAAAGTCAAAAAACAACAAAAAAAAGATTACGTCGTTTCGCTTTCACAGTCATTGCGGTGTTCTGTTTCGCTTTCTTCTTCTTGGTGCATTTGACGAGCAAGACCGTTGAAATAATCAGAAGCGGCAACAGAAGAGACGGGTAATAGGCGTGAAGAGAAAACAAAGCGAGGGAGAGACCCATCACGAATATTGGAGAGAAGTGTGAAGCGATGTTTTCTTGGTTGGAGTTGATTAAGTTGTGAATTTGGTGCTTTTATAGTATGTTGAGATTAGGGGGATTTTTAAATTTTAATCGGAGCTTTACGTGGATTAGATAGCGGCACGGAATGTGCTTTACGGGATCCCGTTTAAGCGACAAACGGAATTACCGTGGTGTAGTGGTAAACACCCCCAATTTGTACTTAACGCGAGACTCAGGTTCGATGCCTGGCGGCAGTTGGTGACTGCTTTATCCTGCCTTATGCTGCCTTATCCCTCTGCCTTACTGCCCCCTCCCTTTCTAGTCCCTGTATAGCACTCACACACCTCCCATACACCCCTATTTAACAGGCGTTTCTCTTAATCTTGTTGGCCACTGGGTATTAGCATCTGCCTAAAAAACCTTCCATTTAACGAACACTTCGTTATAAGCGACAATTATTTTAACCCCCAAAGGGAGTATATCTTATAGTGGTGTCAAAACTTTTCATCTTTTCAATTAAAATTTTTAAACAAAGGTTTCTGTCAGTCCATACCAATCCTCTCTAATTCAACAACAACAGCAACAATTAATTAGACAAACACCCCCACAATTTAATAATCAAAGAAATAATAATAATTTTCAAAAAGTATTTTTTAAATAATTTTTTATTCACTAAATTTTATTTATTTTTAAAGCCTCCAATAGATCAATTATATTCTTCTGTTCAAAAAAATAACGAAAATTTACAAAAACAACAAAGAAGGCAATCTATAGATAGTTGGGTTTAGAGAGATTTATTTAAAATACGGTGAGACCTCATTATAAGATACCCTTTATATAAGAAACCTCTCTTTAAGAGACCTCTATTTAAAATCAAAGTGAGATGCCTAAGACACTCTCTACTTAACATGCTTCCATTATAAGAGACTGGTCTGCACTCTCTATTTAAGGAACATTCATTATAAGAGACTATTCTTCAGAAGGTATCTTATAGTGAGATTCAACTGTATTTAAGAATTAAAATAATATTTTTATTTAAAGACCCCCCATTATAATGTAAACTTTTCCAAAATTTTAGTCAATTCTCCTCTTATTAAATTTTATTTTTATTAATTGTACCCTGCCACATTTTACATTCTTTTATCACTTTATCATCAAAAAAATCACTTTGATAAAAATACCGTATTTCTTGAAATGCATTACTTTGGGATACAGCCCACACATTGGTACCCTACCTTAACCCCCTACCTTGTAGCTGAAAATTAAATGCCTTGGGGGCTTTATTCCAAAGGAATACGGTATTATTAAATTTGCATTTTTTTACTCAAAAATTTTTTTAAACAAAGTAAATTTATTTTATTTATTCTCTATAAGAGACAGGTTTTAAATTTTAGAAAAAATTAAATTGAAAATTTGTATTTAAAAAAATGAAAGTCGCGCACATAAACAATCCTTGAGAAGTGCAAAAAAAATTTGAAACGAAAAATGGGATTAGAAAAATAGTCAGACCTCTATTTAAGGTACACCTCTTTATAAGAGACCTCCAATGACCCTCTATTTAGTGCACCTCATTATAAAATACCCTCGATACTATATATCCTCCACTACGGTACACCTCTTTAGTGTCTCTTATAATGAAATTATCCCTCTATTCAAGATACACCTCTTTATAAGAGACTATTGTTACCCAAAAGTGTAGCCTTAATAGAGGTCCGACCTAAAGAAAAAAGGCATATAAAAATTTCTTTTTAAAAATCCTCATCCCACCCATCTTCGTCTGACCCACAAGCAAAATCATCCGTAGAAGAAAAACGATCAAAGTTGCGAGTATCTGTTAGACTTAAAACTTTTGGTCTAATAGGAGGGCGCATTGAATGATTACGAAAAGAAGTAAAATCGAAGCCTTCGAACCTTTAAAAAATTTTTAAAAAATTTTCAAAAATTTTTTTCTTTGCCTACCAAATGTCTTTACGTAAATCATCAAAATGTCCATAACCCAATCTTTGGGTAGCATTTTTCCGGCAAAGTTTGAAAATTAAAAGACGGGAATTATCACTTATGTAACGAGGCCAAGACAAATTTTGAACACCTTTTATTATTGCACCGTAACTGAAAAAAAGATTACTGTATTACAGTAAGAAAATTCAGTTATGGGTATACACTTTGGGGGTGAATGAAGTGTATGTATAACCAAAGGGTACGTAAAAGCGAGGTTATAACCTAAACAGCTCTCCCCTTAGGCTACCAACCAATTTAAGGTGTCCGTAGAATAGAGAGTTTATATAAAGTTGGGTGTACATACAACCGAGGTCTAGATAGATTTTCGAGTCTAATTATAATGGCCTTCATAAAAACTTTCAAAAAAATTTCAAAAAAATTTCAAAAAAAATCTCACGTCAACATAGGCTCAGAAGCAGCAAAAGGAGGACTTCCCGTCAACATTTCATAAAGAAAAATTCCCAACGACCAAATATCTACTCCTGAATCTTGCCCTTCTCCCAAAATAACTTCGGGGGCAACATATTCCTTTAAAGAAATAATTTTTTCTTTCAAAAAATTTTCAGAATATTTTACAGTAGTTCCACAAAATGTCCAAGCTCTATCCATTTCTGAAGGCAATCTTTTGGCAAAACCAAAATCTACCAATTTGGGTATTCCATTAATATCTAACAACATATTTTCTGGCTTTAGGTCTCTGAAAAATAAAGAAATTTTCATTTTTTAAAAATAAAATCTAATTATAAACTAGTAGAGATCGAGATTTTTGAAAAGCCTGGATCAGGTCTTGGGCCTGTAGTCCAGGATAGACCTAGGAAGATCAAAAAATGCCCAGGCCTGGACTCTGGGTACAGGAAAAACCCAGGCCTTGTTCCGGACCCAGCTCGATCTCTATAAGCTACCCCCTTTGTTGGCTTGAAAAAAAAAAGTTGCCTCTTATAATGAAGGTGTACTATATTAAAAATAAGGGGTATGTTAATGGGAAGGATATGAACTTGGCAGAATTTGGAGATACCCCAGGTAAGAGACGCTTTTTAAAATTTGATTGGCTACTGGGCGGTGAAAGTTGCCAGAGCTATATATCCTCTATTTAAGAGTCACCTCTCATTATAAGAGACAATTCCCCCAAGGGTGTATCTTATAACGAGCATCACAAAAACCTACCTATATATAATTAAGCGTTTATGCAAATAATCAAAAGCCTCCAAAGCAGCAGCACAATAATATCTAGCCTTCTTTTCATCTAAACGCAAAAAACTTCTCAAAACAGTCCACAAATCACCCCCAGGACAATACTCCATTAACATATAAACACGTTCTGAATCTCTAAAAGTTTTGTGCAGTCTAATTATAAAATCGCAATGACATTCCAGTAAAATTGCTCTTTCATTTTGAACGTGTTCGATCTAAAAACAATTTTCTAAGCAAAAAAGAGAAGAAAAAAATTTTTCCCCGAGTAGGCATCGAACCTGGTACCCTTTTGCAGGAGCTTACCCGACTGAGCTACCGGGACAATGCTTTTTTACATTCCCTTTTTTGACGGTAAGAGGCCATAACTTTGTTGATTCGTAACCGATTTGAATAATTTTTATATTAATCGAAAGCTCTGGATATGGAGATTATTTTATCTAACAGGATTGATTTGATCAGACCATCTTACAAAGAGTTATAGCCAAATAAAGACCAAAAATCACGATTGCGCTCACTTAAACGGCTCTAACTTTTTGTAGGATGATCCAATCAAATCAACCCTGTTGGCTAAAATAATCCTCACATCCTGAGCTTTCGATTGATATAATAATCATCTAAATCGGTTTAGAATCAAAAAAGTTATAATCCAAAATATGACCTCGAGACTGATTTTTCTACTATTTTCTCTCTCAAAACTTGCCTGATTTTTATTTTTGACATGTTGTTTATTCAAAATTTTGAGAGCATAAACTTTGTCTCTATCAATATGCCTGACTAGATTTACACGTCCAAATCCACCAATTCCAAGGGTTGTAATTGTTTTTAAATCGGATAATTCAAAACCTTCAAATTCGTCTTCGTCTTCCCCGAGGATGTTGCTTTCCGAACTGGAAAAATAACCAATTTTAAATTGAAGGAACTAGCTAAGAGTTAGGGTAGGGGATGCTTACGTATTAGTGCTTCACCGAAACCGCAACTTTACAAGCAAACCGGAACCGAAACAAAAAAACTCCGGAACTTTCGGTGAAGCTCTATTAAGTCAGCCATTTCACACCCATATTTTCGGTCATAACTTTTTTTCATTCTAAACCGATTTAAATATTTTTCATATCAATCGAAAGCCCTTAATCTGAGGATTATTTTAGCTAGCAAAAGTTATTTGATCAGATCATTCTACAAAAAGTAACAGTTGAATAAGCACGCGTAATCGTTATTTTTGGGTTTTATCAGGCTCCAACTTTTAGTAGGATAATCTGATCAAATCACTCATTTTAGATAAAATAATCCCCAGATCCAGAGCTTTCGATTGACACAAAAATTATTCAAATTCGTTAAGAATGAAAAAAGTTATGGTCCAAAATATGGCCTCAAGAAGGCCACTGTATTTTAAAAATTAGGGAAAACCTCTAAATTTAATTTAAAAAAATTTAAAAACCATTTTTGAAAAACTTTTTCTCGTTTAGTCAATTTTTTTTCAAATTTTTTGAGGGAAGATTTGGAAGATTTTTTAGAATTATTATTTTGTAATAAAGAAGATATTCGAATAAATAAATTGTTTATTGTTATTTTATTATCACCAAAACAAGAATTTATGAAGACCATTTTTTAATTTAAATAAAAAATTTATTTTTGAAAATTTACTAAAAATGAGAGAAAAAATAGGAAAAAAAATATGGACTATTAAAAAAATAAAAAAAAATATAAGAGAAAAAAAATTAAAAAAAAATTATTTAAATACTTTTGTACTTTAATTATTTTTAGGCACATATAAAAACTAAATAAATAAATTTAAACTTTACCTAGGTATTTTTAAAATTAGACAAAAAATCTGAATAAATATTTTAACTTAAAAATTTTTTCTATTTATTTAGCTGTGAAAAATGTTTGTGTACTTTATAAACAATTTTTAAAAAATTAAAATTTAAAAGCTAATTTAACTGACGGGAGAACCTCCACTATAGAGGGTATTATCAGGGTCGTCCGCAATTGCGGAGTGCGTAGAATTGCGTATTTTTTGATTGCGGATTTTAAAATTAAAATTGCGGATTGCTTCTGCGAAAAATTTTTTTTCAATTGCGGACAGCCCTGGGGGCATAAATAAACGAAGGCAAAAAACTAATCTAGATAGCTCGTCACACTCCTCTTTAATACATCATCATCAACACGATTTTATTCAAAAAGTGACTTCCATTTTTTAAAACGTGGTTGCGGGGGATAGATGCATAAGTGATACCCTCTCGCTTTAGTATACACCTCGTTATAAGGTGTATACTAAATATAAGGTAAGATTTTTTCACATCCAAAGGTTGGAAAATACTATAAAGAAAGTTGATTTTATATTTTAAATATTAAATGAGAAAAAGACTGAAATAATTCTAAAATTTATATAAAAATAGTATTTTTAATGTTATAATTTAATTAGTGAAAAAAATATTTTTTTCCGTAATTTAATCAACCTCAAAATTAATTTAAATTATTTTTTTCTAAAAATAAAATTTAATTTAAATTGGGTATTAAATTTTTACAAAAATAAAACAAAAAATTTTTAGAAATTATATAGACGAAAACCTCGTTATAGTAACACCCTGGGAGTTGAAAA